GGTTCATTTTCAAACTTGACATATGTACATTTAATTTGTGTGTAAGCCTCATCTTATTTATGTTGTTAAATGAATATTAAACTTACTTATACTAACCTAAAACGGTATGGTTTTGATAAAGAAATCATGAGTTTTTTAGATTTAACATGTTTTTGTAAGGTAATCACATGGGCTACATGGTTGTTTCTATAGAAATGAGAATATGGGTATAATGAAAATATTTGTTACACCCTTTACATGTGTCATCATGATCATGCACTTGCAGACGCAAAGTATATGGACTTTTGGAAAGTTCCAAACTGGTGTCATGTTGCTTTGAAAACTCACATTGACAGGGCTTGATTTGTCAGTCCTAATTTCATAACCATAGCCTCCACGTTGAATCCTTTATACATACAGTCTATAGTTGAATCCCTAATAAATGATCCGCTTGCTAACGCTGCTGGAGCTGCTAGGGAGGGTGTAGCAGCAGGACCAGTTGGGACAGTCAGTTTAAATTGGGCCAGCGTAACCAGGATACTGAGGAGTGTGAGCTTTCTCTTCCTCTGGCTTTAAGCAAATATTGACTGGAGAGGCAAATAGGCTCTCAGGTAAAGAAGGACATGTTGGGCGGGCTCTCAGATAATGTCCTTTGTAATATGATGATCCCTTTATGAGATTTAAAAAGAACTAAGGGGATTTACCAAGGAAACAAAAACATTATTATGCGAATAGTTTGCATTAGGGATGAAAAGGTACTGCATATATGTTTATCAAACTTTAGCCTAAGAATTAGTGATATAGAAGGCAGTCATGCTTTAGTGTGGAACAAGTTGTTCAGTTAAAAAAAGGAGAATTAGCAAGAGGCACTATGCAAATGTACTTTTAATTACAAGACATACAAGTTATATCGGACAAGTCATTATATAAACATTTACAGTTCGAATCACTTTAGTTCTTCTTTATTGTGACTTTATTTCAACAGGTTATCTCATTGAGACATGGGGTCTCATTCTCAAGAGAGAATCACGCCTATTTTCTTCATATAAACCTATTTGGGGATTTTTTCAAAAACAATTAGTTAATGCTTAATTGATCAGGGAATGTAATCAATTATGTGTGTGAAATGTGTTTTGCAACTGTAAATCTGGATGTAGATGTTTTTTCTACGAGATTAAGAACGCAGCTTTAGCTTTGCTTTCGAAAGACAGCTTTACCTGTAATGTAAAATGGCAGTTTACTCTCTTGAAAGGTGAAAAAGTGTATTTGTAAAACCAAAATGATCAATGTATTGTCTGGAACCCAAACCACTTTGACTTGTCATCAAAAAGCCAGATAAAAAAAACTAAAAAGTGGTAATTTAAATTAAACAGAAAACTGAACGGAAGATGTACTCTTTAACATTATACATTTAATGAACGGTTAAAGTGCGTTGGCTGAATATTGCATCAGAGCATCCACATAGCAGATGGCCCATATCAGATATCTGGTGTACGTGTGTTTGTGTGTGGTTAATGTTTAGTTAATGGTTAACATAACCTCCCATGAAGCCCATCTCTCTGCTCCCCGGTGCTCGCCTGCAGCCTCACTTTGTGACGTAGGAGATGGACAGTAATGAATAGGCCCCCAGTGGAAAACACATCCTGACAACATGAATGTGCTAACGGGAAAATGATTAGCGAAAAAGGCACCGAAGGGAGATAGAGAGATTATCATGCGTGTTGTTGTAAATGTCAACATTTTCAGTGCGTTAGATATGCTATCTCCCAGTTCAAACAGGCACATCAAGGCGAGTATAACCGCAGGCTGAAATAAAGAACAGTATGACCATCACTTGGACAGTTCCCAATGACAGTTACGGCTTTATCAGTGTTGTTTGCAGTATCATTATTGACCCCAACAGAGGAAAGCAGGTTTAACATGAACATATGGAGTATTAAGACTGGGATTCGTTATCTTGCTTTAAAGAAAAACATTTCTGTGAAAACAAGAAAATACATATTAGATTTAAACTGCATATTTGTATTCTATGAACTTTGATGATCTCTGATCCAATCAACTATTTTCCCCTTTCTATGCTTTTCGTTGCTTGACACACCTATTAAACAAATAATCCTTAAAAATTGCAACTCAAATGAGTTCCAGGTATTTCTTATCTAATTTGCCTTTGATCAATGATTGTAACTCCAGTAGTCAGATGACGTGTTGTCCAAGGCTGGCTTTGTTTGGAGCATTGTCTGCTGCCAGCTGTATGCAAATAAGACTATTCAGTGAAAATCCTGTACACCTGGTGCTTCAGTTGGTGAAACTACGCTGCTATCAAGTCATCTTAGACAAAGCAATGGTTATGAGTCATGACCTCATGGCTAATGTGTTTTTGTTAACATGTCTACACTTTTTATTTATATAAGATTTATAAGACTTTCAAGACTTGTCTTACCTATTTTGGAACCCTATAACCTCCTTAAACAAACTTTAAAATAACCCAACCAAAAAGCAACCCTCCCTTGTTTGTCTGAACTGAGACTTGACAATGTTAGCAGCAGTGATGCTCCCATGAAAAACAAACTTTGTGTCTTTTTCCAGTTGCCAACCCGTACCTGCATAACGCGAGCCGAACGAACAAAACTTAATCTTCAGGTATTGTACGTGAGGCTCAACGTGAAGCAAATACGGACATGAAAAAGTCACAAAAACTACCAGTGTGTCACGATGATCCAGAGAGGTGGAAACAGCTGTCTTCATCGCTGTTGGGTAACCTTTGGAAGAACATTTGGAAGAAGTTAGAACACCAAGAAAATATTCAAATTGGTAAGAATGGAAGGAAAGTAGGAGTCAATGAAAAGCAGCCTACCTTTAGGAGAAGAAGAAGAAGAAGAAGAGCGGTGGAGGCCAAAATGCTCAAGCTTGGTCAGGTTTGGCTCACCTTTTACGCGCACTGCATGTGTGCGGTTTGTGACAGGTATACACCTTTTATACCTCTACATGTTCTCTCTCTCTCTCTCTCTCTCTCTCTCCCCCCACCCCTCATGGATGAACCAACAGAGAGGATCCTCAGGGCGCTCACGGACACCTGTCGCACGGTGCGTTGCTCTGATCCAATATTGACATAAAGGGGGAGGGGTGTGTGTGTGTGAGTGCGTGTCTGGCGCACACACACACACACACACACACACACACACACACACACACACACACACACACACACACACACACACACACACACACACACACACACACACACACACACACACACACAATCCATGTACCTACCCACCCATTGCCTCCATCTAAAACACCCTCCCTCCCCCCCCCTCCTCCTCCTCTTTGCTGGGCAACGTGTCTGACCTTTGTGCCTGCGATGATGTGTAAAAAGGCGCATTGTAACGTCGCTACCTGCCGACTCAATTCAGCGCCTGTTCATGCATTATTTCCATATCATATGCCTTGCAAATGACTCTCTGCTGATGGGTGGCTCACCTTGTCTGACAACTTTGGAAACATGGCTCCATGTGGAATCTTCCAGGTGTTGTGGAGGGGAAATGCCCAGGGTTCAAACTGCCATTTAAAGGGAGATCCACCCTAATGAGGTGAGCAGTGATGTAGCCACAAATATGTCCCCAAACAGGAAATCAGGGGATTAAAACTTTAATTAATGATGACATCAGCAATTGAGATGGATGCAGAAACAAGTCTTAAAACCTGGAAATAACTTTTACCACTTCCGGTTCCCTCGTCTCGAAGGTCAATGTTTTATGAAAGTGTTTGTGGTTAGATGTCTTAAAAAAGATCTATTGTTAAAACATAGATTAACATAAAATATGTCAGTAATTACCCCACACATGAATGTCCGAAGCTTCTATGTGTCATGAAAACGGTTGTTGCTAACAAGTGGCTAAAAGAGATAGCAAAACGTCAACACGCTCACACAGGAACGCCTTTAGTTTAGCGAAGGTAATATGCAGCCATGCAACAGTGAAGTAACCCGTTTATAGCCTAGCGTTAACTTTAACGTCTGCCGAAAAATCACAAAGTAGTGGTAATATTATCCTGCTGAATAAAACGTGGGAAGTATCATGAATGTGTGTTTGCAGGGATTACTTTCTATTTTACCAGAATCCAATCAGAAAGTCTCATTGCTTTATTGTCAAGGCACCATTTGCGATGCGTCGACACTACACCACTCGGTTGTTAAAGGCCTGTAAACCGAAAGTAATTAATTATGGATAATTCTAAATGATTTAATAGTCGGAACATTCAGTGTGCATGGATTGTTAAATCACTCAGAGAGAACAATATTGGTGATTGAAATGAACAAATATAATTAGCTAACTGATCAAAACCTCTTGCATGCAACATGAACAATGACAGCGAACCAATCAGAGCTCTTGTGACTGCTCTGCGGCTTGTATCTTTTATTTCTGCAAACTTACTTGCATGTCTTTGATTGAAGGGACAGTCTTTCAATTTGACAGATACAACCCTCCATTGACTCTTTATTGGTAGTATAAGTGCTGCTCATTGTGAAAACTGACTGGTCTTTACAAAGTCTTAAAAATGATTGTTTTACTTGAGTTTGAAAGAGACAAGCTTGTCCAATAAAGGATTGCATTATGGGAATTGTAGTTTGACTAATGAAAACGACTAACAATTCATTTCAAGTGCCGCAACATTTAGCAGGCACATTACAGAGAAGATTAAGGAACGTTTAACGTGAGGTATTATAATGCAAGATTAATAACATTTAAAAAACAGTAAACCCATTAAAAGGAAGTCTAGAATAACAATAAAAAGTATTAAGAGTATTACTACGTTGTTTAGAATTTGTCATAAGCTGAAAATGCCTCACCATTCAAGGATATCCAAATTGTGAATGAAAAACAATATACAAAAGGTAGAAAAACTGATATTAAATGTCATCTGACTTCTTCACAGAGAACATCATTATAAAAAAATCTTCATTACAAAAAATATGTATGTGTACAGCAAGGGATCCATATTAAAAAAAAACTTGGGGAAAAGGTTTTTCAACACAATGTTTATTGGAAATAGTCCGTAATACTTAAGACATTTTATTGCTTCTTTTAGTCATAATATGAAAGTACATGGAGAGAAAAAGCCAAACCAGGTATCAATGTATAAGAAACTTTAAATGTAAGCATTAAATCAAGATAACCATATCCCTGCATGTAGGCCTAATAACAGCATAACTGTCGTGGCTCTAGGACACATTTACAAAACGTTTAAATGTTTGTGTCACAAATGGAAAACAATTCTCTCTTTAATTAATAGAACTTGTTTTTTAACTTGACGGACAATAAACAATGCAGAACAACTGGGATCATTCACTCTATAACTGACATTGTATCTATTTATCAAAAAAATGGATGTCACCTCAGTAAGTTAAACAATATGGACGGCAAACATAGGACTCCATCAAATTGTCTAGAATAACTTGATCGTATTAGGCCTTCTCTCATCTTGTAATTTAAACAATCTGATAGTTCAGACGTGTATCATTGGAACAGGTCGTAAAATAAATATCAAACACTGTTCAAATGGACCGCAAGTTGTAAAAAAATAGGGTATTCCAATCAATGAGGCAAATCAACAACAAAAAAAGCCACCACCTGTGAAATTAATTAATTTAAGTGTTCAAAGCTGCAAAATCAAGTCAGGACTCTTGACATTTGAAAGATGTGACATCCATCATTCTACTGAATTGGGATCAAGTCAGTCCGTTTGCTATGAAATGAACTAACTGTTAAAATATTTGTAATACTGATACTCAGGAACTAGTTAAACATTAAAGACCCAACAAAAATTCCCTGAAATGCAACCTTAATATTATACATCCATTTAAAAGGTTTACCCACTCTAATATGTGCTTAAGATCTTGGTCTAATATTTTGGCAATTATATGAAGGGATACTCAGGAATGGCAGGTTTGTGATGAAGAAAAGCTATAGTCTTTGTCAAGGAAATGACACCTCAAATTTCAGATTTAACACAATTGCCATCAGGGAAATTGGGAGTTCAACAGCAAACAAAACAAAACAAAAAACGTACCTATTCTAAATAATGCACCTAATAATACTGAAACATTTCCCCAAATATGTTTAAACCTGCCCCGAGATTTGCAATTTATTCATAGGAAGGAATCAGAAGAACACTGGTAAAGCAGCGTAATGAAAATAGGACAGAATCAAAAGAGTGCATTAACATTAGCTCCAAAGTAAAGTGTCCAAATCCCCACAGCAGCCAGGTAAGTCCTGCAAAAGTCTACATATGTTTCTATGTATACAACTAGTGCACCCTGGTGTTCCTCGGAAATGAAAAAAAGACGGTCATCCCACAGAGATCCTTAATTGCGGCAGGTTAAGTTAAAATAAGACATATTGATGCCTCCCTAACTCCTATTGGCCGCTCTGGCCAAGTCTCTTTGTGTACGCCTGCCAGCCGCACTTCCTGTATAATTCAGCGGCTGTCCGCCTATCAGGAGCCTCCAGGATACCGCGGCCCACGATGATGACATCAGAGCCTTTGTTGCAGAGGACTTCCTCTGGCGTGGTGTACTGCTGGCCCAACCCATCACCTGTGAGAGAGGGGTGGGAGAGAAAGGGTGAGGAGGGGGGATAGAGAAAGGGGGAGGTTGTCGTTTAGTATGAGGAGGAGTATAGATGGAAATGCATAGCAATCATTTCTGGTACTATAGCTCCTCCTGGTGTTAAAGAGGAATAACTACATTGGAGGAAAAACAAGTGCTTAAAAATGCAACAGGAGAAAATACGAGCTCTTCTTAAAGTAATCGACAATTCAGTTGAGTTGTATGCAAATGTCATTTTGTAGATGAGAGGTTTGTCTTTAGCAATACACAAAATAGCTAACCGAGTAAAAAGCAAAATGAAAGTCAAAGTTACCTCCAGCCTTCATCTGCACCCCGGGGGTCATGTGGATGAACTCTGGCCTCTTTGTGATCTTAGAGCCACAGATGAAGCCAATCACAAAGTCTGAGTGGTCCTCGGCCATCTTCAGCTGTGGACACAGATAACAGATTGTAGATTAGAGAACCCTGACTGATGCCCTCTGCAATTTATAATGGCGCATTTCCACCGCAGGCCTCGCTCAACTTAGTACGGTTTTGTTAGGCCCAGCTCACTTTAATGCTGCGCTTCCATTACAGTTTAGGAACTGGGGTAGTAACTATAGTAACGCAGTGTAGGCGGAGCCGTGACGTCATCTTCAATGAGCGCCCCAGAAAAACAACAGCCGTTAGCTGTTAGCACTCAGAGCTCACAGCTCTTCATATCTGTTCAGAAACTAGACAAAGGTTAAACAAGTACAAACCACAGACTGTCTGTGTCATGGCGAATACAGTCGCTTGTATAGGCCGTTGTTGTGAGTGTGGACGGTTGGAGCATATATTGCGTTAGCAATATCTCCATTTAGAAAACTTGCATTTTAAAAGGGTTTTTCGCCTGCCGTCTGTCTGCAGACTTGTCAAAGCATTAATTCATGGTTTTTACTAACCGGTATCAGTATGTTGTTACTTCGGCATCATTTTGAAACGTGTATTACAATTAAATCACGGTCAAATATGTTCATCTTGTTGTAGTTGTAGCCCCCTTGCCAGTGATTCTCTCTCTAGTTTAGCATACTCAGCCCGACTCAGCCCTGTTTGTTGGCCCCGATAGAACCACGATTTTGTTGGGCCAGAAAAAAGGTGAAAAAGTAGCCCCCGGCCGGAACTAGGCATAGTGGAAACGCAACCAAAAGCGGGCCCGGCACGACGCGGCACGCTTAAAGGAATGCTCCACTCATTAGATAATTATTCAAAACTTCAGTATTTAGTGAAACATTATGTTTAAACCATACTCTGAAGAAATCAGCGATATTCCCCGGTAAATAATGATTTTATAGCTCTTTTTTATCAAAACCTGTATATTCCGTCAGGGCGCTGCCATTTTGGCCAGTTTCAGTAGTCACGTGGTGGTCGTGACGTCATCCATGCGTTCACTTTGTAAACACACGAAAACATGGCGGAGTATTTGAGCTCGGACTCGTCAGCCGAGGAAGAAGTTTTTAGCAATGTGAAGAGATTGGAAGGGGGAATTCAGCCATACAGGTTCGAGCCAAGTAGTCAGAACCGTCAGGAATCCAGGGACAGTGACGATGAGGATGAACAGCACGGTGATCTTGCTGGAGACGATCCCTTTACTCATGCAATTGATTTCGGGAGGCGAGTAGGAAGACCTGTACATGAATGGTGTACTTGCGATCGGTGTGTAGCCATGGACAATCCTCTTATGAACATGTTGTCATGAGCTTGAAGAGCTTGAAAATAAACTGTTCACAGACGACGTGGATTGCATATGTTTACACAGGGAATTCGACACTGTGGTGTTAGAAAAAGCTGTTTGGTTGAACCAATAAATGAAGGGTGAGTACATTTGACGGGTACAGCCCTTTCTTCTTAGCATTATATACTTTACTATTATTATTATTAATGGACATATCAACTAAAGACATGTTATTTGGTTAGGAAGTTCTGGATTAAAGATTGAATTGACGTTATCAAAGGTTTTATAATGACGTTTACATTCTAGGAGGACATTATTTTCATCCTCAATCTCATGGCAATGTTTGCACAACCTGTCATTTACAGGAGTATTTGTCTATCGACCATATTCAATAAGAAGTTTATGGTTGTTAATTCTAAAGTGTGTCAAATGGATTCTGTCTACAATTGCATGGCAAGAACATGAAGGCCAACGACAGATAATTTTCAAAACCAAAACTTTACTAAGTATAGCCATGATAAAAAAAATCAAAAAGCATATCTACAGAATGCACTCTTTATAGAACAATGTAGGCTAGGAGTCCTAACATAATAATGGTACAATGTAGTTGAATAAATTCCATAGTAGTTAATCAAATAAAGAAATCAATCTTCCCACAAGTTTCTAGGAATCAGGTGCCACAGAAACTCACAACATTTTTTTTTTTTTCAGAACGTTCAGATTGGCGGCATACAGGCAGTTCACTTGGTGGTGTCACAAAAGGCTTGGCAAAGGTGTGCGGAAAGTTATCCCCAGCTGTGTTGTCAAAGTAATACGAGAGAAATACCCAGATCCACAAGAAAACTACACTGGATTCAGAGAGGCTGATGAAACTGACAATGTGTATCCAGACTAACTTTCTACCAGATAATTCACATAGGCATCAATTTCAAAGATGTTTTCCCTCCTGGAAATCTTGGTTACACCTCCGACTCACTGGACATTTAATTAAATATATATTAATATGAAAAACAAAATGTGAAATTCATTTTTTGCCTCACTCTCAGGGAAATACTGATGAATAAGGCTGGCTTGAAGAAATTGTTCGTTTGCTGTAACCCTACCTACTCAAAATGTTAGGCAAATACAATATTTTGAGTAGACAAATAAAATAAATTCCCACAAAAAATTCAATATTTTTCCATTTTTCATGCAGATTTTATCATTTTCTAAAAGAAATAAAATAATGTACATGTACCTTAACCTACCATTTAATTGTGTCACTTTAGGGTTACAGCAAACAAATAATATTTTAAGGCCAGCCAAAGTTTTCTGTGGTTCCATTCATGAACCAGAGCCCACAAATTCATGATGTAAGCTTTCCATGACATGCATGATAAAGTTACAATAATGTGCAATCACTTTGTGATACAGAAAAGTTCAATCAAAATCTAGTCAACCCTTACATTTTTAAGACTGCCCTAAGCTATGTGTGAGAGTGGTGAACTGCAGAAAGATGTTATCCAAACATTAATGCTCAGAACTAGTCAATCTTTTCATACATGCCTTCTACCATAAAAGAATCAACCAGTTTTGATTCCTTTATGCTTCTACACAATGACATACTTTGTACTGTTAGTAGTGTCATCACAATCTTCAGTTAATGGCAGCCCCCATAGAATTGGTCAAATTAAACTAAAAATCACTTATAAAATGAGTGAAGGCTCCCTTAAGACCTAGTCTGATTTCAACATCAAAGTGGCACTGTACAATTGATTTTTCACCTAAAAATGTCTCAAAAATATTCAGAGCATGGGCATTTAGGTAGAGTTTTTTTTTCTAAAACGGGTATTCTGGAGTGTTGCATTTACGACTTCACTCTTCTCAGGTTTCTCAATATCAAACATGTTTTGATTAACTTCTGGAAGCTGAACATGAGACTTCTCCAAGCCATGGGTACGCATGAGGACCACATCCCTCATCATATCTTCACGATAGCAGTGTTCTTTTGGAACTTTTACTGCTTTTGCAACCCACTTTTTCCTGTTTGTAAAGGACTTCGGCACTACAACATCATACCTAGGCTGACCAGATTTGGTTGTAGCCTGCTGTCGACCAACACCATAGTTGTGGTAGCAGCTAGCTGTGTTCTACATGCCATGCCCTCATGAGAAAAATGCTGCCTCTTCGGAACATACTTGTTGATCAGAGAATGATAGACTTCCAGATAACCAGTATGGCAATATAAAGCACAGTACTTCAAATCAGCTATGATTTGTTTGTTTTTCACCACTTTGGTGAGAGCATCATGAGCAGGAGACCCAACTGAAAGCCATGATTTTGACCTGTCTTCTTCACCAAGTGGGGGATGCTCGCAGGAATGAAATCATTTCTTGTCATTCCACACATGGATGTTGGCTGTGTGGTAAAGAATGGAGTCCCATTTCTCTTGGAGAATCTCCACATTGCCTTGGCAGGATTCTGCACACCACCAGAAGTGGTTACTTATTGACTGTAACCAGCCAAGGAGAGGGGCAAAAGCTTTTTTAATCCCATAGGCTTTGATAATTTTCTTAATGATACTCTTGCAGAAATGCCAAAGATCAAACTGGTGAGTAATTTCAGGAAATTCCACCCTCAGTATCTTTCTAACAGTTTTGTGCCTGTCTGTGGTAAGAATGTTGATGGAGATGTTCCATTTCTTCATGTTAGAAAGACACTGTTTGAGACCCATGGGTTCCATGGCATTGGAGTTCTTCACACTGGGATCTGCCTTATTAAGCACAACAAAATCAACAATAAGACCAGTATCTTCATCCATAAGGGAATATGTCCCATACTTCGCAGAGTGACCAGGACTGTCACAACGACCATCACCAGATAAAACAATTTTGGGCTCCCTGCTCAAGCCATCAATAACACCAATCTGACATGATATCCACGTCTCATTAATAACAGGAAAGAGGTAGCGTTTCTGCAAGGCGAAGAACTGGCTTTTACAGAGGATGGGGAGTTTCAAATAATCTGAGATGTCTTGCATCCTAGCATATGTGTTACCTGAAAACAAGATAGCTGCAGACAACAGCAGGTTACCAACACCCATTCTATTGAAAGTAGGTTGTGATGACCAAGTGTAATTGCACCCAGCAGCACATTTTGTGCTTATAATAAGCCTGGACCCTGATAACATTCTCTGAAACTCCATAACTTCTGCAGCACATCCTGTTCTCTGGCATTTTCTGAACAAGTTAACAATACAAGATTCGAAGACAATGAATTGTCTTTCATCTGCAGTGTTGTCAGGTACAGTGAAAGCTTGAATGGGTTCGAAATCGGTACTAGTAGGATGTTCATCAGATGGGTCACACTCGCTGTCCGATTCACTTTCAGTTTCTGTTTGTGTAACAAAGTCCAAATCATTTGCGTCATCCTCCATCTCAAAAACAGTCATCCAGGGTAAATATCTCCTCATCTATTTGACGTTCAGCCTCTGGTGTAACGACTAGAGGACTTATGTTGCCCGGGATGGAGATCTGTAAGAATAAGAGTGAAATTAGCAAAATTGGAGGACATATTTTTTTTTGTGATACCTAATCAAATCCAATTGAATTCAAGAAACTCTTGATTGACTTTTGTTGATTATTTCATCGTAACTGACATCAACTGGTTGTGCATTGTGCAGCTTGATACACGAAGCATGTAGACCACCAGGGGTTAATCCAAATGTCCCACTCTCACTCATTTTTTTGTCACTACATGCATGTTATGTACCAGAAATTCACATGGCAGTACATACAGTACTGTTCAAAATGATTAGAACACTTGGAAAATTCATTCATAGATTATTGTTAAAGTAATTTTTCGTGAAAAACCTAAAAGATTTTTAAAATCACATTTTAAATGATATTTTAAAATTGTGATATTTTAATTTTGTCACTTACATTTTCATTTGGATATTTAGAAGTTGTAGGTAATAAAATGTAATATACTCAAGCTGCAGCCCCAAATTATGAATACTTTATGAATTTTCCAAGTGTTCTAATAATTTTGAACAGTACTGTATAGCCCAAGCCATGGTCAATTATCAAACATAGCATCAATACCTATCTTGATACACTGAAGGAGTTCAAAAGTATTGACGAAAATGTTGAACACTCCTATCAGGTTGTCATTCTGAGAAGTCCATTAAGCACGTACCTCTGCAGGACTGTTGAAAGATTGAGCTGCACTTGACACAGGAGATGGTTGTGGTTGCGTTGATGCACTTGCATCCTTCTTCGAGTTTGATAAATAGGTGTGGTCCACTGCAATGGCACGTATCATATCATCCATGTCGGTCTGCACTGACATATCTGTAAGTGCAAATAAAATAATAAATGTAATGGCACAATCTAGATACAGAGAAGATCAATGCAATATATGTAACAAGGTGCTGTCATGCGATATCATCTGCCCACCTCAATTCACCCTCCACAGGTGGACCACATCATTAAAAATATACGCATTACAGTCTACACTCCTTTAAAACATAACACTTACTTGACCAATGGAAAGGGAACAGAACAACTTCTTTGCATCTCACAATGGAGACAAATTCCTGAATCATCTATTTAGGCCTCTATATTCAGTTGTCAAGTTGGTCCACTCCAATCAAATACCATGTCAATGTTATCTTAAAAAAAATGATCACTAACATTCACTCGAGGAATGTGGGGATGGTAGTAGATAGGTCAATTATTTTAATTTTTTCAGAAAATGGTAAGTCTGCATGAAAAACAGAAAAATATTGACATTTTGGTGGAAAATTAAATTATTTGCATACTCAAAATATGTTATTTGCCACACATTCTTGGTATGTAGTGTTAGAGCATTTTTTTTTTTAAAGGCGAGTCTGACAAACCACAGCTCCAGTGTCCTTCACGGGAACGATACATTATTGATGTCATTTTTGGAGAAAATCTCCAGACTTACCATTTGTTGACACTGGATTTGCGTGCTTGCAACATTTACAATGTGCCTCTGGTGGTGCCTCTGGCATGTATGGCACTGCAGCTTGGCCCGGGTTTGACACTGTAGCAGTCGGTGCATTGTCACTTTTAGGTGTGAGCAGGGTTTCTAACAGCTGAAATGAAAAATATAAAACCTTGTAGGGATGTTGTATCCAAAATGTCTCTCATTTTTACAAGAACATACATGAATGCCGGGAGGGGGGGGGCTAAAGGCAAAATGGAAAAGGGAAGCTTGTCTCACTAGTCATCAGGCCTAAATGATGGCAATACTGACATTCCTGTCTGCTAATGTATTGTCAGGGCCCCAGCAAACATTTTAGAACATTTACTGATTTAAGCTAGAGAATTAAAGCAGTCTGGACAGTCTGAGAAACGTCGCCGGACAATTACAAACACTAGATAATTCCAAAAGATCCCCATCTACAAAACTTCAAATTCAAATATTTTATTAATTAAAAGGCCAACTACAGGCAAACAATACAATTGTGTATATCATGTACTTCCCAAATAATATAAAATAAAGTTTTCTAAAAAGGCAAACAATACAACCCCAATGTAGGCCTACTTAGTAAATAGCCTACAATGATTTTGATTACTAGATATGTATGCATGTAGTACCACCCTTGATAGCGATTCCCTCTCTAGTTTAGCATACTCAGCCTCGTTGTCCCTGGCCCTAGAACCACGATTTTATGGGGCCGGAAAAACTGGGGGAAAATACCCACTAGCCGGTACTACGCTATATGGAAAGGCCACCAAAAACTGGCCTGGCCTGGACGATAAAGGACGTTTAAACGGGGCTACCCGCTGCAATGGAAATGCGCTATAACATACCTTATTCTTACTCCGAGCACTACTTCTGGTCCTCCGTCGCTTCACACTTGCAGAGGGCGATTTCTCAACTGGCCGAACTGGTGTCCTGGTCGGTGATGACACCAGAAAGACCGATGGTACTGCATCTCCATTAAGTAATGGTTGTTCAATAAATCCCATGTTATGTTTCATCATACTCTCAGAGTAGTCGTCCGGAAACTTGAAATGTTCGCTGCATACATGCGCCTGTGGATCTTTCGGTTCGGGCCGGCCACATTTCGCTAGCCACTGCCTCCGAACGAACTTCCTACGCTTACCTTTTGGCAACAGATGGAACCGAGCATTCCGTGGATTGTTCCGCATGGTTTACGTCACGTCCGGTAAAATGGCGCCGCCCACAGTGTTGATGTTATTTCGGTAATTAATCAGTTTAAAATCACTGATAATGTCATCGGATAAAAAAAAGAAAAAAGAAAGACTGGCAGAGACTGGTCTGTTTTATCGGATGATAATTTTTTTTAAATGAGTGTCATGAGCATACCATTCCTTTAAACAGCGCCATGGTGGAAATGCACCATTAGAGTTGCAGAGACATTGCTTACCGCAGCCTGGGTGTACTCCCCAGTAGCCAGAGATCCCTGGGAGCTCATCTGTGCTATGAGCAAGCAGCCACGGCCCAGAGGCTTCCCTATAGCACCGAGGCCCTGCACCACCCCGGGGCCCGGCACCACGTGGGCATTCACTATGTGGGACCAGGACGAAATCTGGTACACACCACCTGGGGGAGAAAAAGTCACAGATTTTAGAGCTGCTAATGGTCTGGTTCCTAGCAATTTGTCAGTATTGCTTTTAAATGATGAACCTTTTAGAAAGCTCAGGTCTTCTGGTACTGCGCCTTAGTTCATAGCTAAAGAAAAATGTAGACCCGCAGAGAGGCGTCTTTTTATTATTACAGCCTATGACTGAGGAAGAGCCTCCCACAAGGTTGAGGGTGTTCATCATTTTAAGAGCCAGCTCAAGATGAATTGTCTTGCACTCTTTTATTTCTACTATGTTTCTTTTAGCATACTGTTAAAATACTTACAATAGACACAAGAAAAAAGTTATACGTTTTTCAAAAATATGCTCATTACCATCATACTGATGCTTGACTGTGTTTCCAATGTCAGCGAACTTGCGATCTTCGAAGATGAGGAAGTTGTGTTTCTCAGCCAGAGCCTGCAGTTTCTGAGTGAAACCCGCTGTGTAGTCCTGTTATTAGACAAATGAATACACATATGTTAATATAATGCAACCAGTTTAAATCTAACTCTAAATAAGTGTCTTGGTTTTTTTGTATCCCCTTTATATGTTTATATCCTTTTTTAAATCATAATTATTCGAGCTGTTTTTTATTATTATAATTATTTATTACATCTATACATCTTTAAAAAAACAAAAAAAGACGCTTTAAGATTAATGGCATGACTGTCTCTTGTTTCATTTAAACTGTAAGTGAGAAATTGTTTGTCTGCTTTTTAACAAAGTATGTTTGGACAAACTAATTTTCAGTTTATGTGTATAATAAATATTTCAGCTGTTATTATTTTCTTTTTAACTTTAAAACTAATCTGAGATTTAAGGCCTTTATTTGGTTTGTTTATAATGTTCTAAATCTCAGAATAAACCGTCAGTATTCTTCGTGTTCAGTATGGCCTGGTCTCACTGACCTTCAGGATGTCTACGTGGGTCTTCAGGATGCAGACGAGGGGGCCCAGGGAGTCGGCGAGCTGCAGGAGCTCCTCGCTGCTTGTCAGGTCTAAGGACACACACAGGTTGGAGCTCTTCTCCTCCATGATGTTCAGCAGCTTCGCCGCCAGAGGGTGGACGTCTGCAGACAATAAGGGGAGAGACTGGATGAAGAGCTTTTTATCAACATGCCATTTGCACCAAATGATGCTATCTAAATGATATGACTTGAAATGAAGAATAACAATGTAAAAAGTCCTTTAAAAAGATAATTGAAATGAATGAAAAGGCACCAAATGACGCTATCTAAATTATATGACTTGAAATGAAGAATAACAATGTAAAAAGTCCTTTAAAAAGATAATTGAAATGAATGAAAAGGCACCAAATGACGCTATCTAAATTATATGACTTGAAATGAAGAATAACAATGTAAAAAGTCCTTTAAAAAGATAATTGAAATGAATGAAAAGGCTGGAAGGGTTTTTCTTTGAAGTTGGAAGACACCTTGCAAAGAAATATTGTTAATATGCATGTTTTGTTTTGTTGATCTTTAATAGCATTTCCAGTATTGTATATTGCATGTTTTTAGTGACTGTATTACTTGTTATTTTAAATGTAAGATTTGTTTAGGTCGACGTACAACATCTGTCCAGGACTAGAGATGAAAAATAGCCTCCTTGCTACGTCTGGCACATTTACAGAAATGTTTATTAATGTGCCGTCTCCCTTTTCAATAAATAAATGCTTGAAAGCCTACATACTTGGTAGTTTGGCTCTCTCTGCGTAGCTCAGCTCCGTCGTCTGCTCCAAACACAGCTTTTTGGTCGCAGAAACTCCATTGCTGTTCTCCTTCTTGGGGCTGAAAGAGGAGAGGAAGTAGCTAATGTTAGCAGTAAGGTGTGAATTAAAAACACAACACCTATCCTCGCCATCTTAGTTTGGAAAACGTTTGGACTGTACCTGAAAGTGTTGTTGTCCAGGATGAACTCGCGGACGCTCTGTGCTGTTTTGGCGTCGATGCGCTCGGCTGCCAGCAGCACGTTGAGCAGCTTGAACATGGGGATGATGGGATGGAGCCGAATGCCCTTAGAAGCCAACATCTCCACACCGCCCTGCTCTCTGTCCATCAGCACCACGGCATCCGTCACCTAGAAGGGGGGAAAAAAGATGGTTGCTGCACTTTGTTTCATTATTACAGTACTTGATGACCTCTACAGTGATAATTCAGACAAGTCATGGTTTCTACTGTAGTTTCTGATTCTGTACCTTCAGCCCCCCTGTGTAGAGCACTTCAGCGGTCTCCTGGATGCTGCTGCCGCTGGTCACAGTGTCTTCAATAATCAGACATATATCCCCCTCCTGAAATGAGCCCTCCACCAGACGCTTGGTTCCTAGAGGGGTTACATAAGGAGCATTATTAGTCACTATTCAACCAAACTAACAGCAACTGCACAATGGCCATAATTCACTTACCTACAATCAAATCAGCCCTCAAAAAGCTTTTATTACTATTAGTCTTAGACTATAGTGCCTCTTATCTTATACACTTTTAAACAAAATTAGCAGGAATATACCGGTGTTTTTAATATGAGAAAACCTGGTTAAAAATAGGGCGTATACTGCTAATAGAATGCCAGTAGACGAGTATGCTGGCTCTTACAGCAGGTTTAGTAAACAGTTAAAGGCAGTAATGTCGGTTTTCTCTTTTTAATATATGTTACTTCATATTTTCCTATTTCAAACACTCAAAGCGGAGTTGGTAGTTGTGACAAGGCAAAGACTTAGATTTATTGATTTTGTTTCTGTTAAGTTTGAATGAAGAGTGTTTTATGAAAATAGGCAAGTTAAAGTGAACAATTCTGTCAATATGCTAACATTAGTTAAATGTGTTGTACATTTCTAAATTATAATTACTTGCCAAATCCCTGTTGTTTTAATCTATAGTGTATTCCCTTTAACTTTGTCAGACAAAGGGGCCCAGGAAAAGGACCGAATTGGCATGTCTGCATGTGTCGTGTTTTCATTACTGCCAAACGTGGCTAGAGTCGATAAATACCCATGACCCATAGTAATTTGTCCCAGGAATGAATGCCAATTGTAACCTTCCCACTCAGAACAAAAGACAGCGGTTAGTGGGTGCTAATGCCTTTTTTGTCAGGTAACAAATGGGCTTCAGGGATGTAACATCTATGTTTCGCTTTGTGAATCTCCGAATGGTATCACGGTACCATAAAGGACAAACACATCCCAATATGGATCCTTTTATACATAAAGAGCAAGTCGCTGTGATTTTAAATAACCGTCATTTTTATACATGTTACTATCCAGATTGTCAAAATAGGACGATTCTGATTAGACAAAATACGTGAATACTCCTAAATGTTACAAAAAAAGCTTGTTACTAACTAAGCTTGTCACTAACCATAGTCCTTGGCCTCCTTTCGCCTGATGAGCATAGGCAGTTCATGTCTGGAACAGATGATTGTGGCCATAGGCAGGGCTGTGTATGGGACCCCGCACACCGAGTCAAACTGAAGCCCCTCTTCTTGCACTCGCTCGTAGATGAGACTTGAAACCTGCAAACAAACAAGGAATCAAGAGTCAGACCATACTACTGCAGTCTTGAGGTAAGGGCTACACAACAATGAAGTCACATGGAATTCTACAACATCTAATAAACTTAAATGTTTCCCCACCACAGTTTAAAATGTGACACCTGATATACTGTGTGATAATGTGGTAACTATAAAAATGGCTTATGAATATTTGGAGTGCATTTTAGAGGTAATACATTTCCAAACAATTGCTCTTTGGTGGAACCTTGTAATGACTACTACGTTAAATGAACATGATGAAATAGCCAAGTACTGCCATTAACAAATATCCAATTTTTCTGATAGCGTCATAGAATAGTTTATTCAACTTCTGGATCATTTGAGTCTTTAGTTACTGTTTTTGTGGTAGAGTTAACTATAATAAAGACCATATTCACAGAAGGGGAAGCCCATATGAATATACAATCAAATTAGGCATAGGTTTCAACTTGCATAAACGGTATTGTTCTAAAATAAAGAAAAACGGAGGTCTTTTATCGTGATTGTTGGACTTTTAGGCTGTCGATACACACATTACCACATCGTTAACACCTCACTTCAACACGCCTGAGGAGACGTACATTTTAGCGTCATTATAACAACCTTTTGTATTTGGATAATGTAGCTTTGTGCTGTTTGTTCGTTTCTAAGGTTATCATATGCTGTGCGGGAGCGAGGACATGCAACACGTGTTTACCTGGTTCATGAGCTTGGGGTGGGACACGAGCACCCTGAGGTCAATATAAATGGGTGTCATCATGCCGCTCTTCAGCTTGTACTCCCCGAACTTCACCGCGTCCACATCGTGGAGCTTCAGAATTAAACTGTCGATATATGCGTTTTCCATCTTGTCTGTATTTAGGAGATATAGCAGCAGGACTTCTGTCTCACTTATATTCTACTCCACTGTCTGTTTCCCCAGTAGCATGCCACTTCCGCTCTGACGGTTTTTTCAAAATAAGAGCGCTATCGGCTATAATAATAATACATTTATTTTGGGGGGCGCCTTTCATAACACCCAAGGACACCTTACAGCAGGGGTAGGCAAGTAAGTTTGGCCTCGGGCCAATTTTTTGCTGAGCCACAAGATGGCGGGCCAGAACATAATCAAAGCCTAGTTCAAGGAATTGATTTTGGTAAGAGGGCGCAGCGCCCCTATTCCCCGGTTCAGAAAAAAAACTCTGATATCGCTGATAACCTTCCCCATCAACACTCTGATGCGCAGTCAGATCCGCTGATTGGTTCACTGATGATATAGGCGCCCAATCCAGAGCCTCTGGCTAGACCCGCCCAAAGGGAGGCTCGTCCTCTCTAGCCCCATTTCAGTCCCAAAGCCAGGGCTATTATCTGTATTTTAACACTTATCTTTTAAATTGAGGTGTATTTATTGTTCTTTTCAAAGTAAATTTTTCTCTGAAATGTTAGGGAGGATGGTCCTCCCTTTCCTCAATGGACGAGCCTCCACTGAGTAAAGTAGAGTTATTAACTCGGTAGCAGTGTTATTTAACATACTTTTATTCTGATAAGTATTGTCAAGTTCTCTGGGTTTTTGGCATTTATTTGAGTGTTTGCCCACATTTAAGAGGCTTGAGGGACAACTGGAATCCTTTTTCCTTTTCTTTATTTCAACTTTTCAAGGACACATTAGGATTCTTTCAGGTTGAAAACCTTTAAAAAATATCAAAGGACAAAATAAATCAATTACAGCATGTTTTGCTTTGCAATTTAATATAGGCTCTTATAACCTAAATTAATCAGTAACCAAGTATTTTACTCAAACTCAATGTATTTAATAGTTAAATAAGTACTTTAATTGACCTGGTTCCCCACAACCACACATTTGCCATATGTGACCCGCTCTATCGAAATCAGTCGGAAGTCGCAACGGCTCATTTCAAAATAAACGTGGATTTGCGTAAAAAACTAGTTTTTCAGGGTTTGAGTGTTTCGTTTGATTTTAAATAAACAAAGTCTTGGCTTTCAGAATATGGAACTTGTATTTCCAAAATCACACGATAAATACATGTTTGATGAAGCTTGTAAAGGGAAGATGACAGCTCTCCCTCGCCACTCTGCTCTTCCACAGCGCCGCTTCCCCTCCCTCCGCTGACATTATGAATGTATGTCGGGACATCATTTATTTTACCGGACAAATTTGAAACTTACCGGTCATGTTTCAATAATAATAATAAGAATGGTGTAGCAGAGTTTCCGTTAGCAGGTAATCACCGGACTATGACAGGATATGCTGATGTTTAAAACTCAGTTAATGGGAGTCATTTTTATATTGCTTCAGTTTATAATCGTTACAGATCGAAAAGTTCAGATTCATTTTTCAATAAATGATTCCACAAACAACAAACAACATAATTATTACATTCAAACAAACTACTTGTAGTAGATGAAGTACATTATTCAAAAGTTTACATTAACTTTGGATAATAACACGGGAGAAACGGATCCTCTCTTTTCCCCTCTCCCTCCCTCTCTCTCCTGACAGCCCGTCAGTTTCTCATGCAGCGCGCTAAACAGTGGGCGGGGCTTCAGGTGATTATGCAGCAGCTGATCTGATCTCTCTCTCGGGTCCGGTTATACTTCACTCGCGTTTATATCCATATCGATCAGATCCAGCTCTGCTGATCGGCCTTCATAGAGAGCACCGATCAAACTATTAAGAGTGAATATCGGCCGATAATGACCGGCGGCCGATCGATCGGCGCAGCCCTAATTATTACCAGACATTTTGACCAGCAGGTTTAGAATTTACCGGGTTTTAATTAATTTTACCAGATAAAAACCGGTGATTACCGGCTAACGGAAACCCTAATGTGCGACTCTCGGTCCTATGTTGTTAAAAAAAAAAAAAAATCTCAAAATAATATTTTATTTTTGATTCTCAAAATTACGGGCCAAATATTATTGCTGGCGGGCCAACAATGGCCTGCGGGCCGCCTGTTGCCGACCCATGCCTTACAGGGTTACAGATTTACAATTTTACCTTACAAATTAAAACAGTATCAGCCGGGGTAAGACAAGACAAACAACAGGAAATTGACTACAAAAGGACACAAAAGCGTGATCTTAGCGTTATATTTGACACCTTTTAGCTCAAAATAAGCACAATTCTACAAGAACTATAGTCAAGTACGTTAACAGTCTATTTAAAAGGAAGTCCTCCAGTTGTTGAAAGAAATGTAACACCTAATCAGATTAATAAAACATGAATTCTATGAAGAATGTGTTATTGAAGCCGTAAAATAAAAAAATAAAAGCGGTTGGTGTAATAACAAACACAATATTTGTGTGCTTTAGTTAAAAGTTGTTCAAGAACAATTTCATGTAATTTTGTTCTGAAGGGAGAACCGATTGACCGGAAATCTCTGTAATAGAGTGGCGAAGTCCCTCCCCTTCCGGTGGACCTCCATGGGACCTTATTTCGAAAAAATTATGTATTGAAGTCAATGGAGAGAGCAAGATTATCTTTCGATTCCGTTTGAATTGTGCCACGAAGTACACATATGATGTTTGTCAATTTCAAAGATAATTTTGCAAGTCAAAAAAATAATAATGTGTCGTAAAACTGTGAAGTAACACATTTGTTTGTGTGAAACGCTCAATGAACTACATCTCTGGCTTCCCACAACAACACACGTCACCAAGATGGCCGTCACTACCGTCTTGTCAACAAAACGATTGACTACCCTCACTATCACCACAATTGATTAATTGATTGAAAAGTGTATTAACAGCTTGTATATTGGGTACAGTACAGTACAGCTCAAAACATACAATTGTTAAGGGGATGCAGACCAGAGAAAGACTTTCGTCTTGTTTACATCAGGGTCCCCCATTTCCAATTCATCATGTCATTTAAGACATATAAGACATATTTGACATACAGATGGCTTATTTACAATTTACATACAGGTGGTTTTTTTACATACAGATTGCTTGTTTACAATTTTCATTTTAGATTTCGTTCCAATACATCCTAACCGGACATTTAAGACATACCAAGTCTACAGATATACAGTTAGTAACAGTCTAAAATGCGAGTATATACATAGATGGGGGGGGGGAAGCTGTCCATTGAACGACAGGTTGAGATTTGTACCATTACCGGGGCCAGTTTTGCAATGCTCTCCCCCGAAGGTGCTCTTTAAGAGAGGTTTTGAAGGTAAGTATAGTTTTACTTTCCTTTACAGTTGTGGGAAGAGCGTTCCACCTTGATGTGGCATAATTGCGAAACGTGTATTCCCCCTTTTTTGTGCCAAATCTGGGTTTCACATGATTTGTGGAGCTCCCTCTGGTGTTATGATCATGGTATTCCTTGACCTTTGGGAAGAATTTTGACATGTACATGGGTACCATAGAGGTGTAGTGGATCTTGTAGACCAGGCCCATTGCAAGTAGCTGTACTCTGTCGTCTACTCTAAGCCATCCTAGGTTGTCAAAGTGGGCAGAGGTGAGGTGGGTTCTAGATGAAAGGTCAAGCAGTAGTCTGACCAGTTTATTTTGCGATGTTTGAAGTTTTATTTTTAGCGCCTTGGAGGTGCTATGGTACCATGACGTGCAAGCATAGTCATAGTACCCTTGAATGAGTGCTCCTGCCAGAGTTTTCAGGGTGTTTTTGTTTACCAGAGAGGAGATCCGGTATAGGAATCTAGTTCTTTGATTGACTTTTTTTATTACATTGGATGCCATTTTGTCACAGGAGAGGTTTGCCTCAAGAATAGATCCTAGGTATGTAATTTCCTTCTTACTTGTGACAATAATGTCACCCACTGCAACTGAGAAGTCGTCGGATTTGCTGAGATTATGTTTCGAACCGAAGAGAATGGACTCTGTTTTACCCAGGTGTAATGATAATTTATTATCGGCGAGCCAGGTGCAGATTCTGCCGAGCTCGGAGCTGAGGGTTTTTTCAACCTGCAACCCGTTCCTGTCAGAGACAAGCAGGGCTGAGTCGTCCGCGAACAGGAACAAGTTGCAGTCACATGCTGATGACATGTCATTTACATAAATTAGGAACAGTAACGGACCTAATATGCTTCCTAGTGGAACACCACAGCTCACTGGGAGGGGGGGGGGGACAGAGTACCGTTTACCTCCACCATCTGTTCTCTCCCCTCCAGGTAGGATTGCATCCAGCTCACCGATAGTTTATCAAAACCAATTGCTTTTAGCTTGTCAATCAGAATGGGGTGATTGACAGTGTCGAAAGCCTTTTGTAGGTCCAGCATCACCATGCCGCAGTACTTGCCCTCGTCCACCTCTTGTTTGATGTGGTCGCTCAAATAAAGAAGGCATGTGTCAGTGGAGTGGGATGTTCTAAAGCCAGATTGAAATTCATAGATTAGTTTCTTTTCCGCTAGGTACTTTTCGACTTGTTCATATACTATTTTTTCCATGACTTTCGAGATGGAGGTAAGTATAGAAATAGGGCGGTAGTTGCCTGGGTCCAATTTGCTGCCCTTTTTGTGCAGGGGGGTTACTCTTGCAATTTTGAAGTCTTTGGGTACTTTTCCCTGTTTTATGGAGAGGTTAATTATGTGAGCTTTGACTGGTGAGATGGCGGTTGCTGTGTCTCTGAGGAATTTGGAGGGGATATTGTCGTGGCCAGTGGCCTTGTTAGGTTGGAGGGCGCTCAGTTTAATGAGTACCTCTGCTGTTGTTACCCTTGCTAGACTGAAATCATCTTTGCGTACCCCTAGGTTTTTGTAGTAGGTCATGATGTGATCTACTCCAAAAAGCCCTGAGTGGGAGGGTAATTTATTTACAAGAGTTGTGGCTATGTTTGTGTTAAAAATGTTCAAGTACTTGGCCACATCCAGTTTGTCTGTGATGAGCCTGTTATCTGTTTTTATGTTTAAGTTAGAAAATCTCGTTTTGAGTTTTTTACTGCAGCCAAGCTGGTTATTGAGTAATTTCCAAAGTTCACGGGGTTTATTTTTGTTTTCCTCAGTTTTGACATTGATGAAATTCTTTTTGGCAGTTTTGATCATGGAGCTTACGTCATTTCTTAGTCTGTTTCTTTCAATTTTGAGTTCAGTCACGTGGGCCTGGAGTTCACTGCTCGTGCTTTTGGAAAGCATTGACTGACTTTTATGAAACTCAGAGCATTTTTTGTCTCTGGTTTTCATGGCAGCGCGATTTTTTTACCCTGGTTGTTCTTAGGGGGGCCAAATCATTGAGTATTGCAGATAATTTGTTTTTGAAACCAAGCCATGTTTCTTCAACTTGTGTACCACTGAGCTCATCTGACCAGTCCAGGCTCTCCAGTTCTAGGTTAAAGGCCTCGCTAGAGTAGTTTTTGAGGTCTCTAGATATGACTGTTTTGTGACAGCCGGCCCTTTGTTTTAGCTTTTGCGGGTACAGAATATCATATAATGATCACTTAACCCGCATGCTATAACCCCTTTACTGGAGATCCTGGACTTGTCAGAGGTCAGAATGAGATCAATGGTAGTTTGTGTTGTTTCACATACCCGGGTGGGTTGGGTGATTAGCTGGCTGAAGCCGTGCAGATCACAAATCCTACTGAAGGACTTGAAGACGGACGTGTCTTTACGTTGCATATCCGTGTTCCAGTCTCCAATAATAATTGTCTCTACATCCCCCACATCAGCCAAACACCCATCTAATGTATGATAAAAGTCACTCTGTTCCGGTGGTCTATAGATTGTCCCGACTATTACAGATTTAGCATTGTCAAAAATAATTTCAACCCACAGATTCAATATTTTCATGATGCAGGTCAGTACGGTTTTTGAAATTGGTGTCTTTATGTATGTACATGCAGACACCACCTCCATTCACATTCCTGTCCCTTCTCACTACAAGATAATCTTCAATTTCAATCTCTGAATCTGTAATGGAATTGTCCAATTTGGTCTTAGAAAAGCATAATATGCTTGCCTTACCGTTCATGAATAGCTGCCTGAGTTCAGCCAGTTTGTGTCTCAGGCTGTTAGTGTTCAGATGAAAAATATGTGGTCCATTTTTGTTGCTTAAATGCACAATGTCGTCAGCTTGCAGATATTTGTCTTTGTCCGTTACAGCAACCGGCTTGTCGTGGTGGTGGTGGTGGTGGTGGTGGTGGTGGGGGGAGGGAGGCTCCGTTGTAGCTTTAGCCGTTGATATGCTAGCAGGGTGGCTAACAACATGGCGGATATTTGTTCCCTCGGATCTCGGTTCTCTTCCTCTCGTCACTGCCTCATGCGTGTCTGTCTGCCGAGGCGTCCCCGGGGGAATCTCGAAGTCTCCGTTTATTCCTTGGTCTCCGCTGTCTCCACGGTCTCTGTTGTCGTCGCGTAGTTGTTGTTGCAGCGGAAGAGATGCTAGTTCTGATGCTAATTGAGATGCTAGCTGCTCGAGCCTGCAGGACTGGCTTCTTGTCTGCACCGGGCCCGGATTCAGATGGATGTCTCCCGCTAACAATAAGACCAAGACGATCATACTTCTTCGGTCTAGTTTGCCTGACGGGGGTAAGTACTTTCGCGTCGGGTTTGCAGTTAATAATGCATGAATGCTTGCACTTCCAAAAGCGAGGTGTTTCCTTTCCCAGCCGTTGAGAAGGTAAAAGTCATTGTGGTTCATTTTATCCCCGCTTTCATTACTCTCCTTCTCTAAGTGATGTTGTCTCATTGATAAATTGAGGTAGGAGTCCATAATCCATATTGTCAGGAGGATGAAATATGTAAAAAATCGTGAGGAATAACCGCCAAAGCGGGAGCTCTCGAAAATGCGACCACTCATAGTGAAACCGGATGTGCATGAATGAAACACGTCCAGAAGAATGTCATGCTGCCTGCCTGCCTTCCTTTGATTCTCTCTGAACTGCCTGGTCTTTTTAATGTTTAATGTCAACCATTTGTGCAGATAGCATGAAGTACAAAAGATCGGCGATCGCCGATGCTAGCGTTAGCATTTCTCCCCCGGGCTTAAATTGTGTATTATAGAATGATCACACCGGTGACAGTACTCTTCAAAGGGTTCACGAAATATGACTACTACTCTTACTGTTTAACATTTTGGATTACTTAATGTTACTTCATATTAAGGCTAATAAAAATGACAAGGCTGTAATGCTAACTAACATGTTAGCTACTAGCTAGGTAGCTAACTTGATCCAGCCACTCCTGGGGGGTATACTACGAAGCAGGATTTTCGCTTAGCCGGCTAACTTCAGGGAAAACTCGGGGTTTCCGGTCCTACGAAGCTGGTTCTATTTTTAGCAGGCTAGATCTCCATGGTAACTTATGCTGTGCGGCTAACCAGGGGGGTATACTACGAATCTAGTTCAACCTATCCTGGATATGTGTTTGAGTTATCCGGTTGACTTAATCGAAAACAAAGCCGCTCTCGCTAAACTATCCTATCAACTCGTTCGCTCAAGCCAGCCGTGTCCTATCTAGTTAGGTGCGCGTTCACAAAGTTGAAGAAGAACGAACAAGACCCATTGCTGGTATGAATCGTATGATAACAACCTGGTACTAAGCACACAGGCATCTTGTTAAAGTTATCTTATTTTAGCCAGCGCCATATAGATAGATGATATCTATATGGCGCTGATCTTAGCTCTAGTCTCAAGTACCGCAGTCTCTTCTCCTAAGTCCTTTTGAATTCTCCTATCCACTATCCCTTAACCCCGTGACGTTTCACTCAGAGGTCAAGGAATAGGAGATAGGGTTAGAATTTAGGAGCTGATTTTTGGATTATCGGAACGCAACCCTGCTCATTTTCCGAAATAAGGTCCCATGGACCGGAAGTAGATGGGCGTGACTTCGCCACCGTGGGGTTCTTTCTTTTCCGAATAAAAGCGCACCCCTTCAACGCATAGATGTATAATAACAACAACGTCTTATGTTTATTGTTTTACTCGGAAACGGACTGAAATATTTTATTTATACATAATATAAACGAAATAATCATTTTATTACGTCCTAAATCAAGCCCTGGTCCAAAAGCCTTAATATTAGTTTACCATACATTACCTGAAAACTACACATATTCCCTGAACAAAAAACACAGACAAGATTTGGCTTGGGTTTTTTTCAGTTTATTAAAAAGATTCAGTCCACAGTAGTTCAGATTTTGGCACCAACAATATAAAAACAAGTTAAACAAAAATAAAGTGTACACCCTAAAAAAGCATTGAACAAAATGCCTGAATAAAAGGGATAAATAAAAGAATGAATTAAAAATAAACAAGAAATACAAACATTTATGTAATTAAAATGCATTTCACTTGGAAATAATGGTGAATTTTACAATATTGTTTTTGAAATTACAGTTTCACTTTTGGTCAGTCAGCTTTTGCTTCATTGATTTTATGGGTGCTACACCTTATGTACTTTCAAAATACCCACATCATGAATCACAGAATCACATCTAAATGGTGTGACTTCTCTGTGCTGTAATAATGGCAATGCAACGATTTGTTTCTAATACTAACTCAAAAGTAACAGTGCTTATCTCAGGCTTGTTGTTATGAATTTCTTGTTTTGTAAAAATAACTCAATGGGAATCAATGTATGGCTTTGGAAATCCTTTGCAATAAACCCACACTGCTGATTTGGAAATGTGTTTACCTAATATCTTAACATTTCCTGAACATACAATAGTCATAGTGAGTCTCAAATGCATCATAAAAGCAACAGATGTGGCTACAGTTATTACCAGAGATCCTAATTCCATAAAACCAGGCACATTGTGTTTTCTCTTAATCAAAAGGGAAACTAATGGTCATGGAATGTTTTGAAATACTGACATTTTTCCAAAAGCAACATTTAATTGGGATGGGGTAGGCAGGTTAGGGGTGATAAAGCAGCAGGTGTTGTGCTCTAGCAAAGTGAGGAAGAAATTTGATTAGATAACGAAATTCTTGATTCTGCTGAAGAAGTTAAAAACCAACATGAAAAGTTGGACGGATCTTTGAAAAGGCACAGAGGGTGGTGTAGTAAAGTCTTTTAAAAAGGCACTCAAATTTGGTGCGGGGGAAACCTTTAAGGTACAGATCAGATGGAAATGTCTTCTTCAAATGAAAACAGGTGGAGGCTTCCTTCTTGAAATGGTAGTGACGCTGTAAGGGGTCTCACTTCCTCATCCTCCTTTTTTCATGCTCGCCTCTTCTCTAATCTGAGGGGGGGTTGGCGTCAGCGTACAGCTCTGGCCTCAAACATTCAATCGGACAATGGATGTTCTGGAGAGCAGAGAAGGGCAGGACAAAAACAGAAGAAATGTTGTAATTTATTAGCTTTGACTGGATTTATAGCAACAAATAAGTGATTACCAAAACTATGCTGCATTTAATACTATACAGAATTGTGGGTAATTATTGGAAATTAATTGAAAAAGAGTACTGTGCGACAACTTTATTTAACTTATGTTCTTCTACCAGTTTTTCTTGAATTTAATTGATCACTGGAAGTTGATGAAACAAAGTCTTATTCAACTCAAGTGTGAAGAGGAAGCAGTATTTCTTAATATCATTAGCAAATTATTAATAGTATTGTATTGATTTGTTTTATTCAGAGCAGAAAATCAGTATCAAAACTTATAGGGAGACACTCACCAGTTTGCGTAGAGCGTTTTCTCTGTAGCGGTCGAAAACATCCGTATTAACAGGTTGAAGGAGGCCAGCGTCCACATCAGTGTGTGTTCCCGGCCTTCTGCAGTTCTCACAGCGCCAGCCCTGAAGAGATGGAGGGAGAGGTTTATTCAAATGCACTAACACATCATTTAGGGCATTGTGTTTTCCGTAAAGCACACAGATGCAATGTTACACACCTGTTGTCCTCCGTAGCAGGTGCAGGTACAGATGGCGTTCAGGTATTCCTTCTGCCACTGGTTTCCTACATGGTACATTTTCCCATCGTCATAACATGTCGACTCATCTGGAATGTAAAAGATTGTAAAAGTTAAAAAAGTGTGAATAATTTCCAATATTACATTACATGTTACTTGTTAGACGCTTTTATCCAAAGCGACTTACATACTCAATACTGTGGGCAATCCCCCACAAGAGCAATTTGGGGTGAAGAGTCTTGCCCAGGGACACAACGACATGCTGACTGCAGTAGGGTTTGAACCTGTGACCCCCTGATCCGAACAAAACGCTCAACCCACTGCACCACACGCCTCCAATATATTTCATATCAGAAATAAATGGCAATTGAATATCCATGAGGAATGAGTGTCAGAATCCAAAGATTGAAGAAAAAATATACTACATTTTACCACAATACCAGGAGCCTACTGACGTCTCAATGACTTTTAGTCATAGACTATAAATAGGAAGTGGAGGTAGTCACTGTGACGTCACGTATTGGTAGGTGGAGATATTGTCTTGAAGCCTCACTTTGGAATCTTTGATGTCACCATTTTAATCACAAGCGACCATAGAGGACGGAGCTAGAGAGGGATACGCATTGCTAAAGCTCTATCCTAAATGACAACGTGGCAACATAACATCTCAAGTTAACCTCACTGTAGAGCATCAGCATACCCTGATTCATCAGCTATTTTACTTTAAATTGGACCATGATTTGCAAAATAATCATAGTGCTGTATTGTAGAACAGTTAAAACCAGTGAGTGAGGCCATAAACTCTTTAGGGAAATCTTTACTTAGTAATAAATCAAGTGAAAAGTGGGGTCAACTTTCTCATAGACTTCTATTCAATCTTATATTTGCAGTGGAGTTGCTATCTGCTGGCCATTAGAAGTACTGCAGGTTAAAGGCACTTCTGCATTGGTTTCACTTTTCAGACTTGAAGGCTACGTCCACTTCTTTTATACAGTCCAAGGTCTACTTGAGGCCATCTTTACTTACGGGGTTCACATTTGAATTCTCCTTTGCCATTGCCCAGACAGGTGCAGCTCATCATGTGACCATTCTCAGCCTGGCGGTCCCACTTCTCGCCGATGCGGTAGTTGTTATTGTTGTCGTGACACCACTCTGAAAGAAAGAAGTAGTGACAAAGAACGATAGAAAAGATAAAGGGAGCGAGAAGCAAGGGAAGGAGAACAGAGATAGATCCAGATGCCGGAGCAGAATGAGAGCATGGAGGAAGGAGCATGAAGTGGATATGTGAGAGAAGTTCATTAGTTAGTGTCGAGAGCCGCTTAACAAAAAATGTATTTCATACTGCAGATATAGATTCATACTGCAGATATAGATTCATATTGCAGATATAGATTCATACTGCAGATATAGATTCATACTGCAGATATAGATTCGCAGCATTTACAAAAAACAATTCACACAATTAAATTCACTGAGAAACAAGCATGGAAAACAATCAACGCAGTTCATGTGTATTTCAAACAACAGGTGATGATATTATTACAAATTCACAGAGGCTTAGACCCATTGGGTCACCGGGGACTCACGCATACAGACAGTGAAATGACTTTGAACCTTCGGTGAATTAATGGTGATCTCAGTTTCTGGTATTGTCATGTTAGTTGTATGGACCATACAAAAAACCTGAGACCGACGCTGGCCAGTTAGCTTAGCTTTCTGCTCTCTGTGATGTTTTCACAGTCTACAGAGGCAGAGCAGAGAGTCTAACATGGGCAGACCATAGACAGACTCATACAATGTAAAGACATGATCATCTTTATGAAGTTATGTATGAAAACATTTCTGAAATGATGCAACGCTATACGAAATGATAGTTTGCTAGTTACCATTGTTAAGGCTGCCCATGCCATCATTTTATTAATGCATGTTGATGCACATAGAACTGTAACATTCTATTGCTTTTAAATCATAGCTAAGGAATTTATAAAACATAAATTGTATTGATTGGTGTTCCATATCTCCAACAAATCTTTTGTTCCTCTTATAAATTCCTCTTGAGAAAATCACCTAGAATTATTTGGTTTGTAATTCCCTAGTGTTTTCAAAGCATGCTGGGATTATTTGGTTAATAAGCCACTCACTGGATGAATCACATCTAAAGTGGCCGCTGCCCAGCCCAATGCAGCGGCACCACAGCTTGAAGCCCGTCTCAGACATACGCTCCCACTCTGAGTCCACCTCGTGGTAGGTCTGTGTGAATATGTCGTAACACACGTCCCGGTTGGTGGCGACGGGGATGTCACCTGGAACTAAGAGTTGGAAGAAACAAATGTGGTTAGAAGAAAGCCAAATGATGTGGTATATGATAGATAATACACACAGGCACATAATAATAATAATAATAATAATAATAATAATAATAATAATAATAATAATGGACAACAACGGGCAGCAAATAAGAGGTGAAGAAAGGACCTTGGACCTTATTTAGATTGTATTTAATTCCCTTGCATTTTTTGTTTTAATGCTGTTATTGGTGTTATCATATTTTGATATACTAGAATAACTGGTCTTTTTGAGTATTTGTGTGATATATTTGTGTAGATATTTGTATGACCTCTAAGACAATACACAAGAAGGATTATACACAATGTGCTTGAGTGTGGTGCAAGAGAATCTTTATTTTTAGTGTGGACTACTGTACCAGCATTGCCAACCGTAACGACTTCCTCCAAAACCTTCTCCTTAGCCCCGCCCCTCATGGCCTCTACAAGGACATTATAGGATGCTCCAGATGTCAATCCAATCAGAGTGGCGCTGTTTGAGGTGCCAGGAAGACGCATCTATAGGGGGACAGAGAAAGTTAATAAGTACTCCTTACTTTTCCTGCAGTAAGTGTGTGTGTGTGACTATATGTGTGTTTACCTGGAATGCTCCTTCCTCCGTGTGTGTGATAGGATTACAAGACACCTCGTACTCTGAAGTGTGAGGAATGCCAGACCAGGAGATAGTTGTGATAGTCTGTGCTTCTTGGGGTATCTCTGTTTCATTGTCAGGGAAACCAAACGCAAGACCTGGCAGGGGACCATCACTCACCTACAGGATATAATGGACAGTACAAACTTAATGTGAGCTCAAAATATAACAAAAAAGAGGCTACAAAAGTAATCGTCACATACTAAAACTACTAAAATTATGTACTACAGAACAGTGATTTAAGATCATCTGAGACTGAATCAAACTCAAGAATAGAAATCTAAACGATAGTGGATTATTGAAACATTTTCACAAAAGTATTTAAACATTATAATGATGACCATCAGTTTGCTACAGAAGATTCAAGTCTTACACACCTTGACCAAGGGAACTCTGTTTCCATCGGGGCCTGCTACAGGAATGTAGATCAGAGGCTCTCTGAGAGTGGGTCTCTGGCCTTCTCTGGGGCCGCTGAAGGGGCCATGGAGACCGTTGTTAGGGCCCAGGCTCTGGTACTCAGTGTAGATGTGCTGGCCCTGCTGGCCTGGTTGGTTCAGGCCACTAGTACCAGTGAAGTGAACCTGGTTGGTGTCAAAGCTGGACACAGAAAGAGGAAAGAATAAGAACAGGAGATTCAAATGGGGAAATAATACTTGTGTTTTGTTCCACATTTTAGTTTGATTATGCAGGTTCGTACATCTTGTCGTTGAAGGAGTCTGGAACATCCAGGATGTCAGCGGTGGGTCTGTGAGGGAGAGGCAGCAGGGGCAGCTCAGGGATGACCAGTAGATGGTGATCTGGAGCTGGCTCTGATTGGACAAGAGACATATGTAAGCTAGCTGTTGGAAGCAAGCAGGGCAAAGGCAATGCACAGAACCACTTGCTTAACTTTTAGCATGTAAAAGAAGATGGCTGTGTTTCCACTCTTTTCCTGAAACAGACAGGAAACTAATTCACCTGCACACCTTTGATAAAAAAATAATATAATTCAAAACTTATAATAGGACAAAAACAAACAAGAAGGGTTTTGATGCTAAGTGTAAAAATTAAGTCACAATCAATGTCAAGCGCTATATGCTGCAAGTCTACATCAGCAGTCAGCAGGGGGCAGCATAGCGTGGCTCTCAAACATTATGGCAAATGTTAATATGTCAAAATTATAACTTTTTTCTTGTTAGTTTTACAATGTTTTTGCCAAGAGAAACAATAAGTGATGTAGTTATTGCTTAAATTGTGGATTTATTCAAAAACAAGTTTAATGGGGGAATACAAATTAAAGCGTCTTTAAGAGAAGTCATTATTTCATTACAACGATCATAACAAATAAGAATAATCTGACCATATTCTCTCCTCAAGCAACGATACGAGATTACTTCATCTAATTAGTGCATTTTTGGGACATTCCCTAAAAGTGGGTAGCATAAAAACAGCCCATAATAGTTTTATTAACACTTTTGCAGGGAATATTTAATAGCAGCTAGTTTATTATTCCACAGAACCAGTTAAATTATTTCAGAATATCATAAACAAAGCCGAATTTAGTTTAGTAGTTTTCCTTTTTCCAAGGTGACTGTCAAACTGCCGTTTGTTATTGGCATTATGTCTTAAATGCAGGATAAATCTTTACTTTAATGAAAAAGTAGGTCTGCAGGTGGATGATGGGTACTTACGTGTTCTGGCTTTTCCCACAAGAGATGTGCTTCTCAGAGCATTCTGCAGAGCCACAATCTTAATGACATACTCTGTTCCTGGTTTCAGACCTGTGACCAAAATACACACGAGTTATGAATTTCTTTTATGACCGTATTTGCACTCGTGTTCTTTTTGTCTTCGTACAACACCTCACCATTGATGATGGCGTAGCTCTGGCCTGCGTGAGGTCTGGGGGTAACCTCTCGAGGCAGACCCCCGGCCTCCTCATAAGTCACGTAATATCCGGTTACCCCTGGACTGCGTGATGGCTGCCAGCTGAAGGAGATGCTGGTGGGGTTCAGGGAGGTGAAGCGGATGCTGGTGGGCGGGATGACCACTGGTTTGGCTGGAAGAGACAGACAAGTTAGTTAATAATCAGAAAAACAGAACAGAAAACTACAAAAAAAGAAACAGAACTACATGTTATTTTGGCAATCTTAAGAACTTCATAATACTGAGACAGAAGGGCTAACAAACTGGCAATTAAGGGGGGGTTAAAAAACTATATTCAAAAAATTGAAACTGAAAATATATTGATGCCGGTTTGTGATATTTGTTCTAAAAATGGAAGCAGAACTGGAAGCAAGCTGCAATGAACAACATTTTGAATTAGGTTCAATTCAATAAATATTGGTATTCATTCCTCATTAATGATTTTTCTGTTGTTATCAAGATTACAATATATATACACACATCAATATATATTTCCTGTCATCATAACAAAGATGCAGCATTTCACACTCAAAGTAATGTACTACTCTTGACAAAATGAGGTGAATGGTTACCTGTGGTGGCAGTGAGTGTGAGAGGAGTGCTGCGTCCGCTCCCTTTCAGTGTATAGATGTTAATCTTGTATTTGGTGCCTGGTTCCAGACCTGAAAAGAAGAAAGGTGATGGGTCAGTGAGGGATTGTGTGCTTGAGTACTCAGACTAACAATCTGATTTTATTGAGTTACATTATATCCAATTAAACATTACATGTGTGGGTTGACCTTTCTCTAAGTAAACATAATTTCTGTTTACCTGTGATAACATATGAGCGTGACTCGGGGCCAATGGTCCTTGTAATGGGTGTGTAGCCTGAAGCGGGGGAGGTGGGAGTGGTCTCAACCAGGAAGCCAGAGATGGTTTCTGTCTTGGCGCGCCAGGTCAGCGTGATGGAAGAGTCGTTGACGTCGGAGATGCGCACACGACGAGGGGGGCTGATATCTTGAAGAGAAAATAGAGAAAAGGTCAGGGTGAGGAAGAACAAAACCAGGAATAAGACAGTATAGATTCACAAGAACAATCCAGAACAACGGTACTGTAACACAAATTAAATCTCTCAGTTTTCAAATACTTTTATACATTCGCATTTTATGAGTTACAAACTCACTCTCTCGAGTAGTGACCTCTCCCTGGACTGGCCGGCTGGTCAGAGAGTTTTTCAAGGCGTAAACATGGACTTCATAGGCAGTTGCAACCTAAGAGGGGTGGCGTAAAAGAGAAAAAAAGATCAGTCTCTCACAGTGTTGCAGAATCTGAGTTTAGGTATCCTGGCTGCAGCTGCAAACCTGACATAATAGGTTTGTGCATGGGTCTGCTTATGTATTGCCTTTTGTAAATCAGTAAACACTACATGACCATATTTATGATCTAATAACATAAATAGGAACAAATGGGTATCTAGAAGGTAGGAAAATAACCTTATAACAACTTCTTTCCTCAGTCTCACAGAGCCACACTCACCATGAGTCCAGAGATGTGTGCCTGAGTGGCGTCCGGGGCCAGGTTCAGCTCCTTGGTGGGGCCGCTCTTGCTCTTTGGGTTCACCACCACCCGGTAGCCCGTGAGGCCTGTCAGGCCAGTGAGTCTGTTTTCCTGACGAGGCAGGGACCAGGTCATAGTGAAAGAGGTGGGGCTAATGGAAGAGAACTGGAGGTTGGTGGGGGGTGAGATGGCTGCGGGGAGGAGAGAAAATAAAGAAAAAAGGGTTAGAGGGAGATGGTAATGACAGTATGAGCAATCATTGTGCTCTCAAGTAAAGAATGAAAGCAATATCTTTTCTTTAAGGCCCTTTCTATCAGTGACTGTTGTTCAAATTGTACTTTTCTACAAGGGCCCGTCTGTCGTCTAAATGTCACTTTTCTTAAATGGCTACACCTCCAAATAACACTTAAGAGCCAGGTCAGTCGTTCAAATTCCTCTTCATATATATTATACAATGCATGCACATTTTACTTTCTGAGCTTTCTGGTCTTTGACTTTTTCTTATCAGTTTCAGATTTCCAGCCGTACCTGTAGCTTGTATGCCGACCAATGGTGTGCTGTTTGTGTCATCGTGCACAGCGACGACCTTCACGGTGTATTCAGTGCCTGGCGACAGACCGTAGATGATTGCAGACTCGGCATCTGCCCGGGGGGCAGGGCGCAGCTCTCTCTCTCCCTCCTCTGAACTGGAATAGAAGACCCGGTATGATGTGACGATTCCCTCAGGGCTGTCCCAGGTGATCCGCAGCGAGGTGGAGTCGATGTCGGAGAAGGTAAGGTCCTTAGGGTGGTCTATATCTAGGAAGGCGTTAGGAGGTAGGAGGAGAAGTCAGGAGGTTGCTGAATTTCTGATGGTTTGGGAATCAATATATTTCTGAAATATCTCTAGAAGGTGTAGATTCTTACTTGTTAAAGCATTCACCACCATTGGAGAGCTCTCTCCATCTTGTCCAAAAGCGTACACACTCAAAACGTACTCTACTGTGGGCATCAGTCCTGAGAAAGTCATCTCTGTCTGGTCTGGAAAATTGAAGGAAAAGGATACACATTAAGTGAAGAAAAATATATTACAGAGTTAAAATTAGGACATTAGAACAAGTTTACTATTGTATAATCAAGCTTTAAAGGTCCCCTATTATACTGTTTTTCATCAATATATTATAGGTCTCAGATATATACAAAACATGTCTCTGAAGTGTTTGGCTCCAAATACCAAACAGATCATTGTAGCATCTCATAATCCCTGCCCTGTTTCAAAAGTGCTGATTCTCTGTCTTTTACTTTAGATGAAAATAAGGAGCCACTCCCCTCTGAGAGATATTTGGTTAAAGAACACACATTGGTGCTCTAGGAGGAGATTCAGGTGATAAGGTGGGTGGGGGGGGTTACCTTGGTTTGTCATTGGCTAATGGTTACACAACCCAAAAAAACATTATAACATCACAAAGTGGCAAAAATCTGATCAGCTCATTTTCAGACAGGTTTCTATATAAATGGATCAGGGCAAAAAGAGAGAGAATCTTTTTTACTGAAACTTTCAGAATCTCTTTACACAGAGGGGACACATGTTTATTTTTAAAAGACATGAAAAAGTGGATTTTGCATAATAGGTGACCTTTAAAATACTGACAAACACTACATACCTGGAGCCACCACCTCAGCAAAAGACGGTCCCTGTCCATTCTTGGGGACCCCAGTCACCCTGTATCCCTTGATGGGGCCCTGGGCAGGGCTCCACCTCACTGTGATACTGTTGTCCTTCACGTTCATCACCTCCATTTCAGAGGGAGAGTCGACACCTAGGAGAGGAGGATTAGGGAAGAGAAGAGGAGAAAGCTATAACATGAGATGGCTTGATAATCACTACAAATGAGTGTGCTTTTTGTCTGTAAAGGTGTGTGTACCTGTCTTGTGCATGACGTAGATTGGAGTGCTGGACGCGGGGCTGTCTCCTCTCCCGGTCACAGCGTAGACGGTGATGGTGTAGTCAGTACCGGGCTTCAGGTTGTTGATGGTGGCGGTGGACTGGGAGCCAGGGACTGTGAACTCCTTAGGATTACTGTGACCTCCTGGATAAACAAGGACAATGTGATAAATTAAAAAATATATATATTTAAAGATATATAAAGATATATATTAAAATTCTCAGTGGCGAATTTTCAAAAACACAATACAAATAAATCAATATAAAATAATAGAATAATAATAATAATAAACCAAACAATATATATTATTTACATTTTCCTGGCAGAAAATATACAAAATGTATCTTATAATAAATGTTGTAATTTATCATGTTTTTTTAATCTGTCATTCATGTTTTTTCTAGCTGTACACACTTTAAAGAGACACTTTGTTCAATTTGAAATATGTGGCTATATAAATACAATTTAAAGTAATTTATGTCATTATTTCTCACTGACCAGACTCTCCATGAGTGATCCTGTAGTAGCGCACGGTGACAGGGGGGGCGTCCCACCGGACAGTGATGCTGGTGGGGGAGGAGTCGAGCACTTCCAGGTCTGTGGGAGCATCAGAGACTAGAGAGAGAGAGAAAACACAGACAAAATAATCAAATAACCCACATGGAGTAAGTAACTGGGTGAAATAAAGTGTTGAATCAGGATTTATTCCTACTTGTCTTCTGTGTCCCAGTGAGCGGCAGGCTCTCTTGGGACCCACTCACAGCGTAGATGTTGACCAAGTACCCCGTGTCAGCGGTGAGTCCCGTCAGGGTGAAGTGGTTCCTGGACGGGGGCAGCCTCTCGTCCTTGGTCCTCCCTCCGCTGACCATCAGGTGGCGGATACGGTACCCAGTGATTTTGCTCTGGGGAGCGAGCCAGTTGATGGTGAAGGAGTTGGTGAAGACCTCAGAGAAGCGCAGGCCGACCGGTGAATCCAGAACTGAGAGGTTGGGAGGTACAGAAACATATTTATTATATAAAGGTAAATACTTTCTAAAGGGTATTTATTATTCTTTTTAGGGGTTTCCTTTTCCTGTAGTGTGTTATATAGGTTTTTGTGCATGTAAATGGCCTGCAAAGGCTAAAATCCCAGGTTCCCTCCAGAGGTCTTGCAAACAAATCCCCCCCCTGCCTGAAACGCCTCCATTGGATTCCTGTGTTAACTTACGTAACATAGTGATACCAATCTAACACTCCCGCCTCTATTACTAGCGCTCCAACACATTGAACGTGATTTGTTAAGGGGTGGGACATTGCTAAGTGGCCAGCTAACCAATCAGAGCAGACTGGGCCCTGGTCTCACAGTACAAAATATGAACCTGAAAATGTGCATAATATGTCCTCTTTAAATTATCACCTTAATAAAGTTATAGCATCAGTGCCCTGAAGAAAAAAATAACCTAATTGCTTTCTTATTTACCCAACACTGGACGGGTTTACTCCTGTTTTTTCAAATATCCATGTAAGACTCACCTGTTTTCTTGGTTCCGACGAGGGGCGAGCTCTCTCTCTCCTCGTACACACACACCACGCTCACCAGATACTCTGTGTTTGGCAGCAAGTCTGTGAACATTGAAAAATACATAAATACAAAATGTACTTGTTGTGCGTTGTTGTGTATTGTTCATTTTTTCTTCTAACTTACTCCTTAGCACCACACTGTTCCTGTTGCCTTCTGCGCTGGTCTCTGTGATGTCATCTTCATCGTCAATGGGATGATACCTGAATAATAAGGAGAACAACAAATAAGTTATTTGTGTGTGAGTCAGTGTGTCCTCAGAAAATATGTGAATCAGAAATATTCAAATATAACATGTAATGTTTCTTCTCGTACCTGATGAGGAAGTTGTTGATTTCAGCAGAGTTGGGAAAATAGGGAGCGACCCAGTTGACTTCAATGCTGTCTGGCCCAACCTGGCCAAAGCCCAAGCTAGTGGGTGCTGGTACAGCTATTGACAACAACAAAAAAACAGCTTGATTCACAATGTATTCAAACGGTACAATATAAGCTTTTTTTCCCCTTCATTTGAAGAGAAAATAGATCTGATGAAAGAAAAACAAGATATAAATAAACTGACTAAAAGTGGAAGGTATTCACACCATCATTCTTCTTCTATGTGTCAGTGTAAATCCTTGACTGAAGTTTTACGACATCTTTAAAGTGAGAAAATAAGCAGTGTTTGCATCGGGGGGCAAAATGAGACTCAGTTTGATACAAACCCCATAACTGTAACCAGATGGTCCTCGTGCACAAAGAGGATTATTAACTGAGTGAAAAGCATGCTGTGCAATTACTTCAGCAACTTAAGGGTTTTGCTTTGAAGAACCATGTATTGGGCTTAATAAGAACCTTATTGTGTTATATAACTCGGCACACATATTGTGATTTGTGACTCCCTAAGCAACTGATGTTTGTTCTAGTTTGGTATTGTTACTGTTATAGTTGTGGCAGGAGGATTCTTTTTTGGTTGGGTGGGACTTGCCGGTGTGCTGAGTGATGACGATGGGTTCGCTCTCGCCGTTCTCCGTCACCGTGATCACGCTGATGTCATAGTCGATGCCAGGCTCCAGTCCGTAGACAGTATATTGACCAGTCGTTGGCAGAACAATGTCTTCGAAGATGGGCACGCTCTCGCCGGCCGCTACCACCACGATCCTGTAACCGGTGATGGCTGTGGTGTTGAGCGGCGACCAGAGGAGGCTAATGGTGGTGTCGCTCACATCCTTAAATGTGAGGTCTGTCAGCTGTGGGACTTCTGGGTAGGTGGAAGGGAAAGAAAGCGAGAAGACAACAGGAACACCAAACAAACACGAGGGAAAGGAGGAGGGGGTTGGACATGAGGGCCAGGATGAGGAAGGCAACGGACAAAAAGAAAGAAGCAGTGGTTAACGCAAGCATTTAAAAATGATGTGCTTCCATTAGGGTGTAATATTCGACATATCAGACCAATGGAAGATATGATGTTAAGCTGCCTTTCCTGGTATATATAATTATTTTGTAAGGGTTCAGTTAAAATTCAATGAAGCGTTTCCATTGAGAAGACCTAATATATATACAGGAAATATAGCGTTAGAGTTTCAAAACACTCCTGGTGCATTTTTGCTTTTTGTGTTAAGTTAGAGCAAAGATAGAATGTGTTAAATGCTTTCAACTCTCACCAAATGCTTTTTAACTTGAATGTGGACAGTTTGTGCTTATTTGGTCAGATTCTCATGATCAATATCCTTACCTCATTACCTCAAACACCTATTAAAAACTCCTGCGTGACCTCGCACTCACCTGGTGTAATGGTAGTTGAAATGGGAATGCTCTCCATATCGCCCTTCACAGTGACAACGCTGATGTTGTATTCCAGTCCTGGACTGAGATTCTCCAGGGTGCAGGAGTTCTGACCTGCCTCCACAAACTCCTCCATGCTGTCTCCCTGCTGCCCATTGGTGGGAGTGCACATCACTCTGTAGCCCGTGATGTCTTTGAGAGAAAAAAGGAGAAAGAACTTTTAAACATAGGGTTAGAAACTGAAGTAAATACAGGAGATAACTCAAAGCAGTTTCATCATAAATGATTAAAACAAGATTATTACTGCAATTTTATATTTATTATTTGTAGTCATGTTTTTGACGGTTGCTTTTTGTTGCTTTCTAGGGAAAGATTTAAATGTATACTTCTTTTCTGTTTGTACAAGGATTTTGAGTTTTCTTTTATTTCTCTGTCATTCGATGTGTTGGTAGTATATTTTGAATTGTGTACTCCTTTGTCAATTGTTGATGACCCGTCTAAAATGTCAGGAGACATACCACTGTCTCCTAAAATCATTTAAAAATATATATATTAAAAAAGGATAAGAAAAATAATTGAAAAAAATGTAAAAGTCAAACTGTAAGGACCTCGGTATGTAGGTGTATGTGTACCTGGTGTACTGGCCTCGGTCCATTGGACTGTGAGCTCTCCGGTGCCTGGGTTAGACTTCAGGTTCAGATCAGTAGGAGGAGACAGAGCTGGAGACCAAGAAGAGATACATTAAGAGACACTGGGGCGACAAAGCAAACAGCTTGGAAAGGAAAATACAAAGTTAATATTCAATTGTTGTTCTTACGTGTTACAACGCGCCGAGTGATCGCGGTTCCCTGCTCACGTCCGTTAATAACTGGCTGGACGCTGTAGGTGTACTCCACCCCTGGAGTCAGACCTGAAACGTAAATACTTCCTGAGTCAGAGGTCACATCTCTGGGGGCTTCTCCACCCTGACTGGGACGCACCGTCAGCTGAAAGATAAATGTACACAGTGTCAGAGACTCAGTGGAGAGCGAGACGTGAATCTGGGGTACCGGAGGTAAAGGTCGTAGGTCAATGTTTTCCCATGAACATAGAAGCCGGGAGAACATTCCCATCTCTGGTGTGACATAGTCTGACCAATCAGATTTGAACTGTGAGGTCTGTAGTTTTCATGTTATCTAACCTAAACAGGGCCTACACCTAACTAAGAAGAAATAGAATCTGCTTTCAAGGAGAAATGTACGGTGGCCGACACGTGACAACGGCCAGAAAATGTTTACGCAGCGCTCTTAGTAAAGCATGCGCATGTGTTGTCAAGTTATCAAAGATATTTTTTCATTTGCATTTGTTTTGGCAAATTAATGTTTTTGTATTTGCAATGTTTTTGTGCAGCACTTTTCTCTTAAAGTAAAGTGTTTTGGGCTGTGGTAGCTTGTTGGCCACCGTACAACAAAATGAAAACGGGAATGAACGCAATCACAAACCAGTTCATTTCAAAGGGCCAACATGGGACAGCAGATTTATGAATATGTGGGTGGTGGGATATCCATTAGCAATAAGTGTACCTTGTATCCAACACGGGGAACTGGAGTCCAGGAGATTACAATGGAGGTGTCAGTCACATCAGTGCTGAATTTAGGAGCGCTGCCCATTGAAGAATCTACAAACACAGGCAGAGAAAAGGTGTTTTGTGTGAGTTTTCCAGTCATCTGTATCCATATTGCAAGTTTCTTCTACTCATCTTATAATACTTATCTTTTGTATACTACATGAAACATGAATTATTGAAGATGAAAAACAATACCCTCTTTACCAAAAAATAATAACAATAATCAGTTTAATCCTCTTTTGATAAACTCTCGGAAACATTTTTTTGTTGCACAGCCCAAGAAAACAGTGCATTATATTTGTGTTTATACGCATCAGACACTCACTGGTGGTAAACACAGCGCTCTCTCCTCTACTCAGCGTGTTCTCCTGCTCTGAATGTAGCGTAGCAGTGTACTTGGTAGCAGGCCTCAGGCTCAGGAGGGTGTACTGAGAGAGGCGGGGCGGGCAGGCGCAGCTGCTTGGGGTTGGAGCCCTCCACAGTCAGGAAGAGACGGTAGCCGGTGATTTTCCCATGAGGGGCGGACCACATCATCACAGCACTGTCCTCAGTCACCTCGGTGAAACGGATATATCTCGGAGCGTCAGGCTCTAAAAAGAAACATCAATAAACACTGTTAGAGGATGTGATGTGTTTGACTTGCACTTCAGGGCTTCTGAACACACAGTATGTGTTATATTATTTGATGACTTCACTTGAGCAAGTCAGACATGTATAAAGATAGGGTGATGCAGGGGGGGGGGGGGGGGCACATGATGAAATTATGATATTTAAAGAACAGAATCTTTAGAATAGGCAGATTTTGGTCATTTTACCAGGCAGTGGATTTCCAGCGGTGTTGACCTGTACAAAGAGAGGCTTGCTCTCCAGGCTGTCCTCCACAGAGTAGATACTGATGTTGTACAGCTTCCCAGGTAGGAGGTCACTCAGTGTCACAGATGTTGCCGTGTCAGGGAGAGTCACCTCTGAGCTTTCACCTTCTAGTGAAGGCCTGTAGACCACACGATAGCCTGCGCGGAGAGACAGAAAATACGGGTCACGTAATTGACACAGATCGGATTGAACTAGCCACAAATGGGGAAACGTGTTGGCTGTTACATGTGTCGTAGCATACCAGTGATTGGAGCCAGTGGTTTTTCCCAGCTGATCATGATGGAAGTTTCTTCCACCTCATCCACTTCCAAATCAACAGGAGCATCAGGTGCTGTGAAACCATTTAAATGTGAGAAAGAAAATTACAACCACATCTTTTTCACTTGTTTTTTAAAGGATCACTTGATTTATAATCCTTGCCACATGTTCATTAGGCTGCTTTCGGGTTTGGGATTGGAAACAACAAATTAAAGTTGAGCAACTGTAATTTTATGTCAGACTTAGAAAATAAAGAAACATGAAAGTGTGTTGTGTATCTGCTGACCTGTGCTTTGTGTTGTAGAGAGAAAGAGGTTGTCCTCACCTTTATCTGTAACCTCAAAGTCGTTCCCAGTGTACTTCGTACCAGGCAGTTCTGGAAGAAAAAATACATTTTAGGCAGTGCTACAATATTTAATTAGAATGATGGTTTCAAATATTCTGCCTACACCAATGATTGCGCTAAATGTGATTTTGATATTGCACTAGTCCATATTATGATTTGTGGAAAATAATTTTTTGTTGCGCATCCCTAGAAAACAGTGCATTATATTTGTGTTTATACGCATCAGACACTCACTGGTGGTAAACACAGCGCTCTCTCCTCTACTCAGCGTGTTCTCCTGCTCTGAATGTAGCGTAGCAGTGTACTTGGTAGCAGGCCTCAGGCTCAGGAGGGTGTACTGAGAGAGGCGGGCGGGCAGGCGCAGCTGCTTGGGGTTGGAGCCCTCCACAGTCAGGAAGAGACGGTAGCCGGTGATTTTACCATGAGGGGCGGACCACATCATCACAGCACTGTCCTCAGTCACCTCGGTGAAACGGATATATCTCGGAGCGTCAGGCTCTAAAAAGAAACAAACACTGTTAGAGGATGTGATGTGTTTGACTTGCACTTCAGGGCTTCTGAACACACAGTAGAGGCTTCTCAATACTCAAATTTCCCCTCCTCGACTCCCCTCCTCGGTTCCCCTCCTCGAGACTTAGACCCGCCCACAGGAGATGCGAGCTCAGGACCGAGGAGGGGAACCGAGGAGAGAGGAGGGGAAGCAGCAGACGTTTAAAGAAATGAGAACTCCTCTCCTCTGAGCGGTCATTTTAAAGAGACGTCCGTTCATTATTACGTGGCAACAGCTGCATCAGCTGTCGAGTGTTTTGTCATAGCGCTGTATCTCTGTTAGATCAGCTGAACATTGTTCCCCCACATATTTACTTTGAATTCATTGAGAGTGCGGTATAATGAGACAATAACAGGCTACAGATGCGGACACACACACATAAATATATTTATATAAATATATACAATTTAAAGTATGAGAGCACTCTCATAATAATGTAACACAATCAGAGACTGATAGGCTATATCCCCCCTCTCTCTGGTCGCTGAAATGGGGAATTTAAATTACGGGCCAAAAGTTGTATTTACAAGTAGGCCTATTAAAAGTAAGCAGAGGACACCAAACCAACTGAGACCCGTCTGTCCGCCGCATTTACGCACTGTACAACACACACCTACACACTGTACCACACACACACACCTACACACTGTACCACACACACACACCTACACACTGTACCACACACACACACCTACACACTGTACCACACACACCTGCACACTGTACCACACACACCTGCACACTGTACCACACACACCTACACACTGTACCACACACACCTGCACACTGTACCACACACACCTGCACACTGTACCACACACACCTACAGCTCCAAAAGCATAAGCCGTTGTGTATTTTATTATGTGAAGCAATGGTCTTAGAAAAATATCGACTCTTTGTTTGTAGATATCTACTAAACTATAGCAAATAAAGAGAGTAGGCCTGTTATACTGAGTGATATATATTATACACACTGCTCTGCTTTCTGCACGGACCTCACAGCTGTTCTCTCTGGAAACATCGCGATGCGATGAAAGCAGTTTCTAAAATAATATCCAAGGGATGCATGCAGAGCTGTCATTGGCTGAGATAAGTCCGACCGTGCGTCACGCCTCCACCGTTCCCGGAAATGCATCCGTGGAGGAGCCGTGGAGGAACCATCAGTGTATCCTCGGTTAGAGCTCCTCCAGAGAGCCTCCTCGACGCTCGATCCTCGGTGTGCATTTAGAGAAATGAGACGTCCTTCAAAATGGCGCGCTGAAATTCATTTCCGGGTCACTACCGGAGGACCGAGGACCGAGGAGTCGAGGAGGGGAAATTTGAGTATTGAGAAGCCTCTAGTGTGTGTTACATTATTTGATGACTTCACTTGAGCAAGTCAGACATGTATAAAGATAGGGTGATGCAGGGGGGGGGGGGGGGCACATGATGAAATTATGATATTTAAAGAACAGAATCATTAGAATAGGCAGATTTTGGACATTGCACACCAACCACGGATGCTATTTTCAACAACTTAAGCTTTTCCTAACAAAAGTATTTTACCAGGCAGTGGATTTCCAGCGGTGTTGACCTGTACAAAGAGAGGCTTGCTCTCCAGGCTGTCCTCCACAGAGTAGATACTGATGTTGTACAGCTTCCCAGGTAGGAGGTCACTCAGCGTCACAGATGTTGCCGTGTCAGGGAGAGTCACCTCTGAGCTTTCACCTTCTAGTGAAGGCCTGTAGACCACACGATAGCCTGCACGGAGAGACAGAAAATACGGGTCACGTAATTGACACAGATGGGTTTGAACTAGCCACAAATGGGGAAACGTGTTGGCTGTTACATGTGTCGTATAGCATACCAGTGATTGGAGCCAGTGGTTTTTCCCAGCTGATCATGATGGAAGTTTCTTCCACCTCATCCACTTCCAAATCAACAGGAGCATCAGGTGCTGTGAAACCATTTAAATGTGAGAAAGAAAATTACAACCACATCTTTTTCACTTGTTTTTGAAAGGATCACTTGATTTATAATCCTTCCCACATGTTCATTAGGCAGCTTTCGGGTTTGGGATTGGAAACAACACATTAAAGTTGAGCAACTGTAATTTTATGTCAGAATTTGAAAATAAAGAAACATGAAAGTGTGTTGTGTATCTGCTGACCTGTGCTTTGTGTTGTAGAGAGAAAGAGGTTGTCCTCACCTTTATCTGTAACCTCAAAGACGTTCCCAGTGTACTTCGTACCAGGCAGTTCTGGAAGAAAAAATACATTTGTAGGCAGTGCTACAATATTTTATTAGAATGATGGTTTCAAATATTCTGCCTACACCAATGATTGCGCTAAATGTGATTTTGATATTGCACTAGTCCATATTATGGTTTGTGGAAAATAATTTTTTGTTGCGCAGCCCAAGAAAACAGTGCATTATATTTGTGTTTATACGCATCAGACACTCACTGGTGGTAAACACAGCGCTCTCTCCTCTACTCAGCGTGTTCTCCTGCTCTGAATGTAGCGTAGCAGTGTACTTGGTAGCAGGCCTCAGGCTCAGGAGGGTGTACTGAGAGAGGCGGGCGGGCAGGCGCAGCTGCTTGGGGTTGGAGCCCTCCACAGTCAGGAAGAGACGGTAGCCGGTGATTTTACCATGAGGGGCGGACCACATCATCACAGCACTGTCCTCAGTCACCTCGGTGAAACGGATATATCTCGGAGCGTCAGGCTCTAAAAAGAAACATCAATAACACTGTTAGAGGATGTGATGTGTTTGACTTGCACTTCAGGGCTTCTGAACACACAGTATATGTTACATTATTTGATGAATTTCCTTTCCAATGGTATGTTCCAGTTTTAAGAATTGGAAACTTCGACATAGATAAGTGACAAGGCCACAGGATGAATTTCAGGGTTATTTTGCAGAGCAAAATAGACAAGATAGACAAGAAGAGCAAGTCAAATATGTCTAAAGATAGGGCGATGCAGGGGGGGCATATGATCAAATTATGATATTTAAAGAACAGAATTATTAGAATAGGCAGATTTTGGACATTGCACACCAACCACGGATGCTATTTTCAACAACTTAAGCTTTTCCTAACAAAAGTATTTTACCAGGCAGTGGATTTCCAGCGGTGTTGACCTGTACAAAGAGAGGCTTGCTCTCCAGGCTGTCCTCCACAGAGTAGATACTGATGTTGTACAGCTTCCCAGGTAGGAGGTCACTCAGCGTCACAGATGTTGCCGTGTCAGGGAGAGTCACCTCCGATCTTTCACCTTCTAGTGAAGGCGTGTAGACCACACGATAGCCTGCGCGGAGAGAGAAATATTACATATCATTTTGAATATGGAATGGTCACAGATGGGTTTGAACTAGCAACAAATGGGGAAATATGTTGGCTGTTACATACCAGTGATTGGAGCCACTGGTTTTTCCCAGCTGATCTTGATGGAAGTTTCTCCCACCGTACCCACTTCATAATCAGCAGGAGCATCAGGTGCTGTGAAACCATTTAAATGTGAGAAGGAAAATTACAACCACATCTTTTTCACTTGTTTTTGAAAGGATCACTTGATTTATAATCCTTGCCACATGTTCATTAGGCTGCTTTCGGGTTTGGGATTGGAAACAACACATTAAAGTTGAGCAACTGTATTTTATTGTGAGAATTGGAAAATAAAGAAACATGAAAGTGTGTTGTGTATCTGCTGACCTGTGCTTTGTGTTGTAGAGAGAAAGAGGTTGTCCTCACCTTTATCTGTAACCTCAAAGTCGTTCCCAGTGTACTTCGTACCAGGCAGTTCTGGAAGAAAAAATACATTTGTAGGCAGTGCTACAATATTTAATTAAAATGATGGTTTCAAATATTCTGCCTACACCAATGATTGCGCTAAATGTGATTTTGATATTGCACTAGTCCATATTATGAATTGTGGAAAATATTTGTTTGTTGCACATCCCTAGAAAACAGTGCATTATATTTGTGTTTATACGCATCAGACACTCACTGGTGGTAAACACAGCGCTCTCTCCTCTACTCAGCGTGTTCTCCTGCTCTGAATGTAGCGTAGCAGTGTACTTGGTAGCAGGCCTCAGGCTCAGGAGGGTGTACTGAGAGAGGCGGGCGGGCAGGCGCAGCTGCTTGGGGTTGGAGCCCTCCACAGTCAGGAAGAGACGGTAGCCGGTGATTTTACCATGAGGGGCGGACCACATCATCACAGCACTGTCCTCAGTCACCTCGGTGAAACGGATATATCTCGGAGCGTCAGGCTCTAAAAAGAAACATCAATAACACTGTTAGAGGATGTGATGTGTTTGACTTGCACTTCAGGGCTTCTGAACACACAGTATGTGTTATATTATTCGATCAGATCACTTCACTTGAGCAAGTCATGCATGTATAAAGATAGGGTGATGCAGGGGGGGGGGGGGCACATGATCAAATTATGATATTTAAAGGTCCCCTATTATACTTTTTTCATCAATATATTATAGGTCTCAGATATATACAAAACATGTCTCTGAAGTGTTCGGCTCAAAAATACCAAACAGATCGTGGATTGCAGCATCCCATAATCCCCTCTGTTAGCCCTGTTTCCAAAGTGCTGATTCTGTGTCTGTTACTTTAGATGAAAATAAGGAGCCCCTCCCCACGCCCCTCTGAGAGATGTTTAGTTAAAAAACACACAATGGTGCTCTAGGAGGAGATTCAGGTGATAAAATGGGGGGGGGGGGTTACCTTGGTTGGTGATTGGCTAATGGTTACACAAGCCAAAAAATGGTTATGACATCATAAAGTGGCCAAAATCTGATCAGCTCATTTTCAGACAGGTTTTTAAGTAAATGGATCAGGACAAAAAGTGAGTGAATCATTTTCCCTGAATCGTTCAGAGTCTCTTTACACAGAGGGGACACATGTTGATGTATAAAAGACATGAAAATGTGGATTTGGCTTAATAGGTGATCTTTAAAGAACAGAATCATTAGAATAGGCAGATTTTGGACATTGCACACCAACCACGGATGCTATTTTCAACAACTTAAGCTTTTCCTAACAAAGGTATTTTACCAGGCAGTGGATTTCCAGCGGTGTTGACCTGTACAAAGAGAGGCTTGCTCTCCAGGCTGTCCTCCACAGAGTAGATACTGATGTTGTACAGCTTCCCAGGTAGGAGGTCACTCAGCGTCACAGATGTTGCCGTGTCAGGGAGAGTCACCTCCGATCTTTCACCTTCTAGTGAAGGCGTGTAGACCACACGATAGCCTGCGCGGAGAGAGAAATATTACATATCATTTTGAATATGGAATGGTCACAGATGGGTTTGAACTAGCAACAAATGGGGAAACATGTTGGCTGTTACATACCAGTGATTGGAGCCACTGGTTTTTCCCAGCTGATCTTGATGGAAGTTTCTCCCACCGTACCCACTTCATAATCAGCAGGAGCATCAGGTGCTGTGAAACCATTTAAATGTGAGAAGGAAAATTACAACCACATCTTTTTCACTTGTTTTTGAAAGGATCACTTGATTTATAATCCTTGCCACATGTTCATTAGGCTGCTTTCGGGTTTGGGATTGGAAACAACACATTAAAGTTGAGCAACTGTATTTTATTGTGAGAATTGGAAAATAAAGAAACATGAAAGTGTGTTGTGTATCTGCTGACCTGTGCTTTGTGTTGTAGAGAGAAAGAGGTTGTCCTCACCTTTATCTGTAACCTCAAAGTCGTTCCCAGTGTACTTCGTACCAGGCAGTTCTGGAAGAAAAAATACATTTGTAGGCAGTGCTACAATATTTAATTAGAATGATGGTTTCAAATATTCTGCCTACACCAATGATTGCGCTAAATGTGATTTTGATATTGCACTAGTCCATATTATGGTTTGTGGAAAATATTTGTTTGTTGCACATCCCTAGAAAACAGTGCATTATATTTGTGTTTATACGCATCAGACACTCACTGGTGGTAAACACAGCGCTCTCTCCTCTACTCAGCGTGTTCTCCTGCTCTGAATGTAGCGTAGCAGTGTACTTGGTAGCAGGCCTCAGGCTCAGGAGGGTGTACTGAGAGAGGCGGGCGGGCAGGCGCAGCTGCTTGGGGTTGGAGCCCTCCACAGTCAGGAAGAGACGGTAGCCGGTGATTTTCCCATGAGGGGCGGACCACATCATCACAGCACTGTCCTCAGTCACCTCGGTGAAACGGATATATCTCGGAGCGTCAGGCTCTAAAAAGAAACATCAATAACACTGTTAGAGGATGTGATGTGTTTGACTTGCACTTCAGGGCTTCTGAACACACAGTATGTGTTATATTATTCGATCAGATCACTTCACTTGAGCAAGTCAGACATGTATAAAGATAGGGTGATGCAGGGGGGGGGGGGGGGGGCACATGATCAAATTATGATATTTAAAGGTCCCCTATTATACTGTCTTTCATCAATATATTATAGGTCTCAGATATATACAAAACATGTCTCTGAAGTGCTTGGCTCCAAACACCAAACAGATCATTGCAGCATCCCATAAACCCCTCTGTTTCAGCCCTGTTCAAAGTGCTGATTCTGTGTCTGTTACTTTAGATGAAAATAAGGAGCCACTCCCCACGCCCCTCTGCGAGATATTTGGTTAAAAAACACACAATGGTGCTCTAGGAGGAAATTCAGGTGATAAGATGGGGGATGGGGGATGGGGATGGGGGGGGGGGGGGGGGTTACCTTGGTTGGTGATTGGCTAATGGTTACACAAGCCAAAAAATCGTTATGACATCATAAAGTGGCCAAAATCTGATCAGCTCATTTTCAGACAGGTTTTTATATAAATGGATCAGGACAAAAAGTGAGTGAATCTTTTTCCCTGAATCGTTCAGAGTCTCTTTACACAGAGGGGACACATGTTTATGTATAAAAGACATGAAAATGTGGATTTGGCTTAATAGGTGATCTTTAAAGAACAGAATCATTAGAATAGGCAGATTTTGGACATTGCACACCAACCACGGATGCTATTTTCAACAACTTAAGCTTTTCCTAACAAAAGTATTTTACCAGGCAGTGGATTTCCAGCGGTGTTGACCTGTACAAAGAGAGGCTTGCTCTCCAGGCTGTCCTCCACAGAGTAGATACTGATGTTGTACAGCTTCCCAGGTAGGAGGTCACTCAGTGTCACAGATGTTGCCGTGTCAGGGAGAGTCACCTCCGATCTTTCACCTTCTAGTGAAGGCGTGTAGACCACACGATAGCCTGCGCGGAGAGAGAAATATTACATATCATTTTGAATATGGAATGGTCACAGATGGGTTTGAACTAGCAACAAATGGGGAAACATGTTGGCTGTTACATACCAGTGATTGGAGCCACTGGTTTTTCCCAGCTGATCTTGATGGAAGTTTCTCCCACCGTACCCACTTCATAATCAGCAGGAGCATCAGGTGCTGTGAAACCATTTAAATGTGAGAAGGAAAATTACAACCACATATTTTTCACTTGTTTTTGAAAGGATCACTTGATTTATAATCCTTCCCACATGTTCATTAGGCTGCTTTCGGGTTTGGGATTGGAAACAACACATTAAAGTTGAGCAACTGTATTTTATTGTGAGAATTTGAAAATAAAGAAACATGAAAGTGTGTTGTGTATCTGCTGACCTGTGCTTTGTGTTGTAGAGAGAAAGAGGTTGTCCTCACCTTTATCTGTAACCTCAAAGACGTTCCCAGTGTACTTCGTACCAGGCAGTTCTGGAAGAAAAAATACATTTGTAGGCAGTGCTACAATATTTAATTAGAATGATGGTTTCAAATATTCTGCCTACACCAATGATTGCGCTAAATGTGATTTTGATATTGCACTAGTCCATATTATGAATTGTTGTTTGTTGCGCAGCCCAAGAAAACAGTGCATTATATTTGTGTTTATACGCATTAGACACTCACTAGTGGTAAACACAGCGCTCTCTCCTCTACTCAGTGAGTTCTCCTGCTCTGAATGTAGCGTAGCAGTGTACTTGGTAGCAGGCCTCAGGCTCAGGAGGGTGTACTGAGAGAGGCGGGCGGGCAGGCGCAGCTGCTTGGGGTTGGAGCCCTCCACAGTGAGGAAGAGACGGTAGCCGGTGATTTTCCCATGAGGGGCGGACCACATCATCACAGCACTGTCCTCAGTCACCTCGGTGAAACGGATATATCTCGGAGCGTCAGGCTCTAAAAAGAAACATCAATAACACTGTTAGAGGATGTGATGTGTTTGACTTGCACTTCAGGGCTTCTGAACACACAGTATGTGTTATATTATTTGATGACTTCACTTGAGCAAATCAGACATGTATAAAGATAGGGTGATGCAGGGGGCGGGGGGGGGGGGATACATGATCAAATTATGATATTTAAAGGTCCACTATTATACTTTTTTTCATCAAAATATTATAGGTCTCAGATATATACAAAACATGTCTCTGAAGTGTTCGGCTCAAAAATACCAAACAGATCGTGGATTGCAGCATCCCATAATCCCCTCTGTTAGCCCTGTTTCCAAAGTGCTGATTCTGTGTCTGTTACTTTAGATGAAAATAAGGAGCCCCTCCCCACGCCCCTCTGAGAGATGTTTGGTTAAAAAACACACAATGGTGCTCTAGGAGGAGATTCAGGTGATAAAACGGGGGGGGGGGGGGGGGGGTTACCTTGGTTGGTGATTGGCTAATGGTTACACAAGCCAAAAAATGGTTATGACATCATGAAGTGGCCAAAATCTGATCAGCTCATTTTCAGACAGGTTTTTATATAAATGGATCAGGACAAAAAGTGAGCGAATCTTTTTCCCTGAATCGTTCAGAGTCTCTTTACACAGAGGGGACACATGTTGATGTATAAAAGACATGAAAATGTGGATTTTGCTTAATAGGTGATCTTTAAAGAACAGAATCATTAGAATAGGCAGATTTTGGACATTGCACACCAACCACGGATGCTATTTTCAACAACTTAAGCTTTTCCTAACAAAAGTATTTTACCAGGCAGTGGATTTCCAGCGGTGTTGACCTGTACAAAGAGAGGCTTGCTCTCCAGGCTGTCCTCCACAGAGTAGATACTGATGTTGTACAGCTTCCCAGGTAGGAGGTCACTCAGTGTCACAGATGTTGCCGTGTCAGGGAGAGTCACCTCCGATCTTTCACCTTCTAGTGAAGGCGTGTAGACCACACGATAGCCTGCGCGGAGAGAGAAATATTACATATCATTTTGAATATGGAATGGTCACAGATGGGTTTGAACTAGCAACAAATGGGGAAATATGTTGGCTGTTACATACCAGTGATTGGAGCCACTGGTTTTTCCCAGCTGATCTTGATGGAAGTTTCTCCCACCGTACCCACTTCATAATCAACAGGAGCATCAGGTGCTGTGAAACCATTTAAATGTGAGAAGGAAAATTACAACCACATCTTTTTCACTTGTTTTTGAAAGGATCACTTGATTTATAATCCTTCCCACATGTTCATTAGGCTGCTTTCGGGTTTGGGATTGGAAACAACACATTAAAGTTGAGCAACTGTAATTTATTGTGAGAATTGGAAAATAAAGAAACATGAAAGTGTGTTGTGTATCTGCTGACCTGTGCTTTGTGTTGTAGAGAGAAAGAGGTTGTCCTCACCTTTATCTGTAACCTCAAAGTCGTTCCCAGTGTACTTCGTACCAGGCAGTTCTAATGAAAAAAAAAATATTTTAGGCAGTGCTACAATATTTTATTAGAATGATGGTTTCAAATATTCTGCCTACACCAATGATTGCGCTAAATGCGATTTTGATATTGCACTAGTCCATATTATGATTTGGGGGAAATAATTTGTTGTTGCGCATCCATAGAAAACGATAGTTACGGCTGTAACTACGGTTCTATGAGTCCCGGATGACCGCCAGAGGCGGTGCTTTAAGCACTGGATATGTCCATCGCGCGCATGCGCAGCTCGAGTACCAATAACAACAAATTCACCTGTGACCCACGTGACACCAGCTATATCAGCCGGTGTCGTCAGAGGATCTGTTCCCAGAATCTTCTCGCGAGCACACAAGAATTCTGAGTGACAGGGAACTCTGGCGGTCATCCGGGACTCATAGAACCGTAGTTACAGCCGTAACTATCGTTCTATTTCGTCCCTACTGACCGCCAGAGGCGGTGCTTTAAGCACTGGATGACTTATACCAACAATGTCATGAAGAATCCAAGCCCTTGCTCACCACTGGAAACAGCGGAGCTCGGCAAAAGGACCACGCCCAAAGAATGGGGAGTAGCGACATTGACCTGATGACAACTGGAGAATGTGCCAGAAGACGCCCACGACTTAGATGGTCTCCAGGGGCACCACCCTCAGGGCAGCCCAATATGTTGAGATACTCCTTGTAGAGTGGCATCTAAGCCTGATGGCAGGGGGGCGGTCACTGGCCCCGTAAGCCTGTGAGATGGTATCGACAACCCAGTGGGGCAGCCACTGGTTAGAGGGCATAACCTCCTTTAGTGCCGCCAGGGCAGAATCAAGAGTTGCTCCTACTGCCGTATACAGGCAGTAGCCTTGATATACGCCCTTTGGGCACCCCCTGGGCACAGCAACTTCGACGTGCCGTACTCCTGAATGTCAAAGCGTGCCAGCTGGGCAGGCTGATTGAAGTGGGTTTGTGGAAGGACCCCGGGCAGGAATGCCACATTTGCCCAAAGGGCAACGCCTGAGAGTCCCACCTCGGGCATGTATTGTTTATGGAGAGGACATGCAACTCCCCGACTCGCTTCCCTGAGGCTATGGCAAGCAGAAATGCTGCCTTCGTGGGCAGCCACCTAAGCCCCACCTGGGCCAGGGGCTCGAAGGGAGGAGATGATCGGGCATCCGGCAGCAGGGGCAGGTCCCAAGCCGGAGCCCTCGGGGTGCTAGGGGGACGCTGCCGTAAAGCCCCTCTCATAAAGAGGGACACCGACCTGTGGCACCCCGCCGTGGCGCCGTCGACCCGAACATGTTGGGCAGAAATCGCAGCCACATAAATTCAGAGTGGAATGAGAATGTCCACTATCTAGAAGGGACTGTTGTCTAAGCAACAACGTACATGCTGTCCCCAAGGAACACGCACATTCTTGCCCCCCAGTTGGGGTAGAAAGTGCGTGAGTGCAAGCTGCACAGCCCGAAGCTCTAGCACGTTGACCTGGCGCGCACTCTCCTGGGCAGACCGCTGACCCTGAACGGTCCTGCCCTGCCGCACTGCACCCCACCCTGAGAGACATGCACCTATGGTGATGGTCTCCTGGCGGGATGGGATGTCGCCCATGGGCACGCCCACTAGGAGATAGGCCCTGCCCCTCCAGCGTGACAGAGAGTGGAGGCAATGCTGCGACACCCTGACTTCCCTGTGCCACTTGGCGTCCAAGTGAAGGCTGTTCAGCCACATCTGCATGGGGCGCAACGACAGCGGGCCTAAGGGCCCAGCGGCCGAGGCAGCTGCCAGTCTGCCCAAGGGCCGGAGGAACTGAATATAAGGCACCATCTTACCCGGCCCACGTGGAAGTAGGCATCCCTCAAGTCCACGGTTGAGAACCACTCCACCTGTGCATATGCAGTGGTCAGCATATAGAATGGCAGCACCTTCGGGAATCTGTTGATTCCTCTGAGGTCCAAGATCGGGCGAAATCCGCCGACTTTCTTGCTCACGAGAAAGTACGCCGAGTAGAACCCCCTGGGCTAAGCAGAGGGTCTTACTGGCTTGATTGCGTCCTTGGACAGAAGGACGGCCAACTCTTGGGCCAGAGCTAGGGCCCCTGCCGGATCGCTGACGACTGTCAATTAGACCCAGCCGAAGGCTAGGGGCCGGAGCTGCGGTCCGTACCCCTGGGTTAAGGTGAAAACCACCCAAGGGACGGAAGTACTGAGTAACAGTAACTGAGCTGCTGTAACAGTAACTGAGCTGCTGCTGGGAAAGCAGCCGACGACCGCCCCCGGGATTTCAGGGCCCAGCCCCCCGGCCCCTGGAGCCTCTTGGGGGGCGCCGGTAAGGCTTTGGGGCACAAGGCCGTCAGGAAGTCGGACGACCTGGGGCACGAAAGTCATTGGGTCGCGCCGCTAAGACCTCTGCAGACCACCCCTGTAATCCGGCGGCTGAGTGCGGCTGCTAGAGCGGCCCCTGGGCCTGCTGGGAGTGGGCACAGGTCTGCGAAGACCCGAGAGCTGCTGCCTGGTCTGCCTAGCTTGGGCGGCACGCTCCAGTGCCTCCAGGGCAGCTGACCTAAACAGCTCCCCTGGCTCGACTGGTACGCTACGGAGGACTCTCCTACATGCCTCCGTTAGTGGTAACTGGGCCAGCGAAACCTGGCGACGAGTCTGTACCAGCGACAAGGCGTCCTCATACAGAGGTGCGTCAACCGAAGGAGGTGCGTCAGCCGAAGGAGGTGCGCCAACCGAAGGAGGTGCGTCAACCGAAGGAGGGGCGTCAACCGAAGGGGGGGGGGGGGGGGACGACAGGCGGCCCGCTAGCAGCCCCTACACCGGGCCCAGGCTGAAGGGCCAAGAGGCGACTTCATCATGCCCCTATCGGCAGCTAGCCGATCCACTTTAGAGGACAGCCTGTTTCTAGTCCTTCTATTGGGGGGAGCACACATAGCCATCGCTCCCTCAAGTCGCCGGGAACGGCCGAATTGATCTGGAGGAGGATGTGACAAGGAGAGGTGTCTGTTGGCTGCTGCCAGACGTTCCACCTCAGTGATTCTAGCCACTCTGAGCGCCCGAGGCATGCAGCTACAGCTCATGCAGGCGTTTACCGTGAGAACCTCCCTCAGATGCTCACATTTCGTCCCCACTGACCGCCAGAGATAGGAGGGGCAGCAGTCGTGGCCGTCCTCGGGCTCAAAAGAAGCCATACAGGCGCTACATGAATGAGCCATTCTGTAGGTAGCCAGATGCAGCGTAGCCGGGAGCGGGTGCGGGAACAAAGCCTTCACCAGCTACCTGCTTAATGGAAAGAGTAGAGCGTTGCTGCTACTCGCCGAACAGAAAGAGGGATGTAATTACACCCACGTTACCGGCAGAGGGAGCGGGAGCGAGAGCACTGCCTTCACCTGGCTGGATTAATAAACACGGCAGTTCAGCGTCTACCAGGAGCGGGGGCGAGAACACTGCCGGCTGAGTTAGAGACGAATGCCAGATGCAGCATAACCGGGAGCGGGTGCGGGAACACAGCCTTCACCAGCTACCTGCTTAACTGAAAAACAGGGCAGTTCCGCGTCTACCAGGAGCGGGGGCGAGAACACTACCTTCACTGGTTGAGTTAGAGACGAATGCCAGATGCAGCGTAACCGGGAGCGGGTGCGGGAACACAGCCTTCACCAGCTACCTGCTTAACAGAAAAACAAGGCAGTTCAGCATCCACCAGGAGCGGGGGCGAAAACACTGCCTTCACTGGTTGAGTTAGAGACGAATGCCAGATGCAGCGTAACCGGGAGCGGGTGCGGGAACACAGCCTTCACCGGCTACCTGCTTAATGGAAAAACGAGGCAGTTTGGCGTCTACCAGGAGCGGGGGCGAGAACTGCCTTCACTGGTTGAGTTAGAGACGAATGCCAGATGCAGCGTAACCGGGAGCGGGTGCGGGAACACAGCCTTCACCGACTACCTGCTTAACGGAAAAACGAGGCAGTTTGGCGTCTACCAGGAGCGGGGGCGAGAACTGCCTTCACTGGTTGAGTTAGAGACGAATGCCAGATGCATCGTAACCGGGAGCGGGTGCGGGAACACAGCCTTCACCAGCTACCGGCTTAACGGAAAAACGAGGCAGTTCAGCGTCTACCAGGAGCGGGGGCGAGAACACTGCCTTCACTGGTTGAGTTAGAGACGAATGCCAGATGCAGCGTAACCAGGAGCGGGTGCGGGAACACAGCATTCACCGGCTACCTGCTTAACGGAAAAGCGAGGCAGTTCAGCGTCTACCAGGAGCGGGGGCGAGAACACTGCCTTCACTGGTTAAGTTAGAGACGAATGCCAGATGCAGCGTAACCGGGAGCGGGTGCGGGTGCGGGAACACAGCCTTCACCAGCTACCTGCTGAACGGGAAGAGTAGAGCGGTGCTACTACTCACCGAACAGAAAAAGGGATGTACTGTAGCTACATCCGCATTTCCGGTAGAGGGAGCGGGAGCGAGAGCACTGCCTTCACCTAGCTGGGTAAAATAAAGAAGCTTAACAGTACACGCAAGACGTTAGCCGATCAAGCGAGATCAAGTCAAATAACACACATGTTTAAGACCAGATAACTAGCTTCTAAAGAAGAGAACAGCACAGAGCCGTAGTTACAGCAGTAACCATGGCCAGTGCTCACACGGCATATAAGTTATAACCGTAGTTACAGTAGTAACTATGGCCAGTACTTACACGGCTTAGAACCGTAGTTACAGTCGTAACTATGGCCAGAACTTACACAGCATAGAGCCGTAGTTACAGTAGTAACTCTGGCCAGTACTTGCACGGCTTGGAACCGTAGTTACAGTAGTAACTATGGCCAGTACTTACATGGCTTGGAACCGTAGTTACAGTAGTAACTATGACCAGTACTTACACAGCATAGAGCCGTTTACGGTATTGACTATGGCCAGTACTTGCACAGCTTGGAACCGTAGTTACAGTAGTAACTATGGCCAGTACTTACGGCTTAAAACCGTAGTTACAGTAGTAACTATGGCCAGTACTTACACAGCATAGAGCCGTAGTTACGGTATTGACTATGGCCAGTACTTACACGGCTTGGAACCGTAGTTACAGTAGTAATTATGGCCAGTACTTACGGCTTAGCACCTTAGTTACAGTAGTAACTGTGGCCGGTGCCGAAAACTGTCAGCCAAACGGCTGCCCACTAGATAATATAATATTGGGAGGATGAAATCCTCCTTAATGGCCACACATGCAGAGCACACAGCACACACAGTGAAGATTTTTCTCTGCATATCGTCCTAGTGCTAGGAGTCTAGTACTAGGAGCAGTAAATACAACGATATAGCGCTACTGCAACCATACCATGCGTTTACCGGGAGCGGGAGCGAGAGCACTGCCCTCACCGGCTGAGCTAAATAATGAAGCTTAACAGTACATGCAAGGTGTTAGCCAAGCGGCTGCTGCTAACAATCAAGCAACCAAGTCAGAACACAATGTTAAGACCAGATAATTAGCTTCTAAGAAAGAGAACAGCCCGCATAGAACCGTAGGCCATGGTTACAGTAGTAACCGCACATGCGGAGCACACAGCACCCGCAGTGAAGATGTTCTCTGCATATCATCCTAGTGCTAGGAGTCTAGTACTAGGAGCAGTAATACAATGATCTAGCGCTACTGCAATCAAACCCTATGTTACCGGGAGCGGGAGCGCTGCCCTCACCGGCTGAGTTAATAGTTAAGCTTAACAGCAAGGTGTTAGCCAAGCGGCTGCTGCTAACAATCAAGCGACCAAGTCAGAACACAAATGTTAAGACCAGATAATAGCTTCTAAGACATAGAAAGTACTTACCTTACTCTCTGCATCTAAACGAAAAACCGGTTTAAAATATGACACTCTGGGCTTTCCATACTAAATTGAATGAGGGACACAGCCAAAGCTGGGACTCAAATGCTAATGATAGCTCGGGCACAACGCCACAAGCAGAACTTTCAAAAGAGCATAAGGGCAACTTTATGGGAGAGGAAGCGGGAACACTGTCGTCACCAGAAAGTCTAAGCCAAACAAAAAATAAGACAGCAATCAGGACAACTTGGATGGGAGAGGGTGCGGGGACACAGCCATCACCAGCAACAAGCTGACACCAACCTGTCTGTCGAGGCTCTGCACAGCGCACAGCCGGCCACAGCTCCTGGAGGACGCGTTAACGACCCGTAGCTCCGACTGTCAGTCACGAAGCTGCACGCGGCCAGCTGCTTGCAGAGCAATCCCTCAGATCAAACGTTCAAATCTGAACGCTGTAGGCTACAAAAATGTAGCCACGGTACCCTCGCGCAGCGAGAAGATTAAAGGAACAGATCCTCTGACGACACCGGCTGATATAGCCGGTGTCACGTGGGTCACAGGTGACTTTGTTGTTATTGGTACTCGAGCTGCGCATGCGCGCGATGGACATATCCAGTGCTTAAAGCACCGCCTCTGGCGGTCAGTAGGGACGAAATAGAACAGTGCATTATATTTGTGTTTATACGCATTAGACACTCACTGGTGGTAAACACAGCGCTCTCTCCTCTACTCAGCGTGTTCTCCTGCTCTGAATGTAGCGTAGCAGTGTACTTGGTAGCAGGCCTCAGGCTCAGGAGGGTGTACTGAGAGAGGCGGGCGGGCAGGCGCAGCTGCTTGGGGTTGGAGCCCTCCACAGTCAGGAAGAGACGGTAGCCGGTGATTTTCCCATGAGGGGCGGACCACATCATCACAGCACTGTCCTCAGTCACCTCGGTGAAACGGATATATCTCGGAGCGTCAGGCTCTAAAAAGAAACATCAATAAACACTGTTAGAGGATGTGATGTGTTTGACTTGCACTTCAGGGCTTCTGAACACACAGTATGTGTTATATTATTTGATGACTTCACTTGAGCAAGTCAGACATGTATAAAGATAGGGTGATGCAGGGGGGGGGGGGCACATGATGAAATTATGATATTTAAAGGTCCCCTATTATACTTTTTTTCATTAATATATTATAGGTCTTGTCAGGGTTTGAGTTTTTGTGTGTCTAGTTTTGGGGTTATTTTGCTGTTCTGTTCTCCCTGTCGTTAGTTTACCTGGTGTGTCTGATTGTGTTCACCTGTTGCCCTTGTTTTTCTCCTCCCCTGCCCGGCTGTTTCTCGTCTCGTGATTACCCCTCCCTGTATTTAGTCTCTTCCTGTGTTCAGTGTTGGTTCATTATTTGTCGTTCATGTCTCCCTTCATGTTGGTCACAGTCCCTTTTTGTTTGGATAATACCTCGTGCCTTGTACCTATTCATGGATTCTTGTTTTTTCAGCTTTTTGTGAATAAAGCTCGCCTTTTGTTCCATTTTGAAACCTGCTTCCCTCCTCATTCTGCATTTGGGTCCTATTTTTCCCCAACCCTGACAGGTCTCAGATATATACAAAACATGTCTCTGAAGTGTTTGGCTCCAAATACCAAACAGATCATGCATTGTAGCATCCCATAATCCCCTCTGTTTTAGCCCCGGTTCCAAAAGTGCTGATTCTCTGTCTGTTACTTTAGATGAAAATAAGGAGCCCCTCCCCACGCCCCTCTGCGAGATATTTGGTTAAAAAACACACAATGGTGCTCTAGGAGGAAATTCAGGTGATAAGATGGGGGGGGGGGTTACCTTGGTTGGTGATTGGCTAGTGGTTACACAAGCCAAACAATCGTTATGACATCATAAAGTGGCCAAAATCTGATCAGCTCATTTTCAGACAGGTTTTTATATAAATGGATCAGGACAAAAAGTGAGCGAATATTTATTCCTAAAACTTTCAGAGTCTCTTTACACAGAGGGGACACATGTTTATGTATAAAAGACATGAAAATGTGGATTTGGCTTAATAGGTGATCTTTAAAGAACAGAATCATTAGAATAGGCAGATTTTGGACATTGCACACCAACCACGGATGCTATTTTCAACAACTTAAGCTTTTCCTAACAAAAGTATTTTACCAGGCAGTGGATTTCCAGCGGTGTTGACCTGTACAAAGAGAGGCTTGCTCTCCAGGCTGTCCTCCACAGAGTAGATACTGATGTTGTACAGCTTCCCAGGTAGGAGGTCACTCAGCGTCACAGATGTTGCCGTGTCAGGGAGAGTCACCTCCGATCTTTCACCTTCTAGTGAAGGCGTGTAGACCACACGATAGCCTGCGCGGAGAGAGAAATATTACATATCATTTTGAATATGGAATGGTCACAGATGGGTTTGAACTAGCAACAAATGGGGAAACATGTTGGCTGTTACATACCAGTGATTGGAGCCACTGGTTTTTCCCAGCTGATCTTGATGGAAGTTTCTCCCACCGTACCCACTTCATAATCAGCAGGAGCATCAGGTGCTGTGAAACCATTTAAATGTGAGAAGGAAAATTACAACCACATCTTTTTCACTTGTTTTTGAAAGGATCACTTGATTTATAATCCTTGCCACATGTTCATTAGGCTGCTTTCGGGTTTGGGATTGGAAACAACACATTAAAGTTGAGCAACTGTAATTTTATGTCAGAATTTGAAAATAAAGAAACATGAAAGTGTGTTGTGTATCTGCTGACCTGTGCTTTGTGTTGTAGAGAGAAAGAGGTTGTCCTCACCTTTATCTGTAACCTCAAAGACGTTCCCAGTGTACTTCGTACCAGGCAGTTCTAATGAAAAAATACATTTTAGGCAGTGCTACAATATTTAATTAGAATGATGGTTTCAAATATTCTGCCTACACCAATGATTGCGCTAAATGTGATTTTGATATTGCACTAGTCCATATTATGATTTGGGGGAAATCATTTTTTGTTGCGCAGCCCAAGAAAACAGTGCATTATATTTGTGTTTATACGCATCAGACACTCACTGGTGGTAAACACAGCGCTCTCTCCTCTACTCAGCGTGTTCTCCTGCTCTGAATGTAGCGTAGCAGTGTACTTGGTAGCAGGCCTCAGGCTCAGGAGGGTGTACTGAGAGAGGCGGGCGGGCAGGCGCAGCTTCTTGGGGTTGGAGCCCTCCACAGTGAGGAAGAGACGGTAGCCGGTGATTTTCCCATGAGGGGCGGACCACATCATCACAGCACTGTCCTCAGTCACCTCGGTGAAACGGATATATCTCGGAGCGTCAGGCTCTAAAAAGAAACAAACACTGTTAGAGGATGTGATGTGTTTGACTTGCACTTCAGGGCTTCTGAACACACAGTATGTGTTATATTATTTGATCAGATCACTTCACTTGAGCAAGTCATGCATGTATAAAGATAGGGTGATGCAGGGGGGGGGGGGGGGCACATGATCAAATTATGATATTTAAAGGTCCCCTATTATACTGTTTTTCATCAATATATTATAGGTCTCAGATATATACAAAACATGTCTCTGAAGTGTTCGGCTCAAAAATACCAAACAGATCGTGGATTGCAGCATCCCATAATCCCCTCTGTTAGCCCTGTTTCCAAAGTGCTGATTCTGTGTCTGTTACTTTAGATGAAAATAAGGAGCCCCTCCCCACGCCCCTCTGAGAGATGTTTAGTTAAAAAACACACAATGGTGCTCTAGGAGGAGATTCAGGTGATAAAATTGGGGGGGGGGGTTACCTTGGTTGGTGATTGGCTAATGGTTACACAAGCCAAAAAATGGTTATGACATCATGAAGTGGCCAAAATCTGATCAGCTCATTTTCAGACAGGTTTTTATATAAATGGATCAGGACAAAAAGTGAGCGAATCTTTTTCCCTGAATCGTTCAGAGTCTCTTTACACAGAGGGGACACATGTTGATGTATAAAAGACATGAAAATGTGGATTTGGCTTAATAGGTGATCTTTAAAGAACAGAATCATTAGAATAGGCAGATTTTGGACATTGCACACCAACCACGGATGCTATTTTCAACAACTTAAGCTTTTCCTAACAAAAGTATTTTACCAGGCAGTGGATTTCCAGCGGTGTTGACCTGTACAAAGAGAGGCTTGCTCTCCAGGCTGTCCTCCACAGAGTAGATACTGATGTTGTACAGCTTCCCAGGTAGGAGGTCACTCAGCGTCACAGATGTTGCCGTGTCAGGGAGAGTCACCTCCGATCTTTCACCTTCTAGTGAAGGCGTGTAGACCACACGATAGCCTGCGCGGAGAGAGAAATATTACATATCATTTTGAATATGGAATGGTCACAGATGGGTTTGAACTAGCAACAAATGGGGAAACATGTTGGCTGTTACATACCAGTGATTGGAGTCACTGGTTTTTCCCAGCTGATCTTGATGGAAGTTTCTCCCACCGTACCCACTTCATAATCAGCAGGAGCATCAGGTGCTGTGAAACCATTTAAATGTGAGAAGGAAAATTACAACCACATCTTTTTCACTTGTTTTTGAAAGGATCACTTGATTTATAATCCTTCCCACATGTTCATTAGGCTGCTTTCGGGTTTGGGATTGGAAACATTATTAAAGTTGAGCAACTGTATTTTATTATGAGAATTGGAAAATAAAGAAACATGAAAGTGTGTTGTGTATCTGCTGACCTGTGCTTTGTGTTGTAGAGAGAAAGAGGTTGTCCTCACCTTTATCTGTAACCTCAAAGTCGTTCCCAGTGTACTTCGTACCAGGCAGTTCTGGAAGAAAAAATACATTTGTAGGCAGTGCTACAATATTTAATTAGAATGATGGTTTCAAATATTTTGCCTACACCAATGATTGCGCTAAATGTGATTTTGATATTGCACTAGTCCATATTATGAATTGTTGTTTGTTGCGCAGCCCAAGAAAACAGTGCATTATATTTGTGTTTATACGCATCAGACACTCACTGGTGGTAAACACAGCGCTCTCTCCTCTACTCAGCGTGTTCTCCTGCTCTGAATGTAGCGTAGCAGTGTACTTGGTAGCAGGCCTCAGGCTCAGGAGGGTGTACTGAGAGAGGCGGGCGGGCAGGCGCAGCTGCTTGGGGTTGGAGCCCTCCACAGTCAGGAAGAGACGGTAGCCGGTGATTTTCCCATGAGGGGCGGACCACATCATCACAGCACTGTCCTCAGTCACCTCGGTGAAACGGATATATCTCGGAGCGTCAGGCTCTAAAAAGAAACATCAATAAACACTGTCAGATGTGGACAGTTTGATTTTGTGTTAAGAAGGAAGGACTTTACAAGAGGTTTCACAGGTTTAGCTCCTTGAAGAAAAGAAAAAGGAAGAAAGAAAGAAAAATAAGTACGGAAGCCCTCAGAGGCAAAAATTAGTGATGGAAGAAACTGGTTTTGCCGTGACCATTGTTATACAGGTACAGTGGAAAAGAAAGGACATAGTTCAACAGGAAGAAAACATTTATCATACAAGTCCCATTTACAGAATTGGGTAGTGTTGCAATTTAGCCTCTTTTGGCAAAAATGAGTATTACAACAACAAGCTCCATTATCCTGAAATAAAACTATAGTCCACCTTTTTGGATGAAATTAAAGTGACCTAAAATGATCCTTCATCTTTCTATAATTTGTTTTAAGTTTCACAGATAAACGGTTACTTAAAAGGATTGTCCTGGGAAAACCAAATGTCATAAACACAAGACAGAAAACAATGAAAATCAGACTCCATCACCAAATCTCTTTTTTCTGTGTTGTGCTTCAGGGCTTCTGAACACACATTATATATTACACTACGGAACATTTCCCAGAGCACTCCATCATTCGTTTCATGCTTTGAAACCTTCCGCAGGGCCGCTAGTTTTAATGAATTTCTCTGTAGAAGGAAAATCAACTATCAGTGACGGATGTTTGAGTGCAAGTCATGTCCTTGAAGACCTGAGGGCATCTGACTGTCATACTCACTAGTGGTTTGCTCCCCAATAAGTGGTAGACTCTCCTCTCTGCCTTGAAGGGTGTAGACACTGAAGCGGTGCAGTTTTCCTGGAACTAGGTTAGTAACTTCCATGTAGGCATTTTGTGTTACAGGAAGAGTTATCAGCATCGAAATCGAATCGTGTCCCTCCTCCACAGGGAGAGCGGTAACCCGGTAACCAGAGATGGAGCCGGATGGGCCGGTCCAGGTCAGAACTATTTTGTTGTCCGTCACCTCGAAGAACTGCAGGTCTGTAGGAGAAGGAACCTCTGTGGACAGGAAAACCACTTAGAATTAGAAATCTATTTTGATGAGAGAACGCCTACTACCAAGCAAAGGAGAAGTGGATACCTCTTATCATCTTAAAATACACAATAAAATACAGAATCATGGTTACTTTTTCGTAATATGATCTGCTAAACAAGGTAGGTATGTCAATTTCATTCCATGATATCTTGGTTTTTATCTTTAAAAACACAATTAAAAAAAACTAATCTATCAGGGTGCAGCTGTTCTAAAGGCTTAAAGATGCTTGAGCTTTAACAGCTTATAAATAATATCAATTGTAACCATCATATGTCAATGTTTGAAGATAATAATAAACTCTACAGAGGGGGATATCCTTAACTGTCCAAAGATGGCAGCAGAAATGTTCCATTAGGCATTTTTATTCTATCCAAACTGTACAAACAAGCACACTTTTTCTGCATTACCTCAACTGGCTCAACAGCACATTTGACTTGGCAGACTACAACTATTTTTTTCACATAACTTAGAATAAGAGTCCAACAGCTGTGAACTTGATGACTTCACTTTCCATTGGTATTTTCCAGTTTAAAGAATTGGAAACTTCGACATACATTAGTGACAAGGCCACAGGATGCATTTCAGGTTGATTCTGCAGAGTATAGAGAATAATAGCTCATACAAGTATACAGATATGGCCGAGCAGGGGGGTGCCAAGGATCAAATGATGATATTTAAAGATCAGAATCGGCAGATTTTGGTCATTCCACACCGACTACTGGTGCTACTTTAACAAGAGACACTACTTTTAACATGCCCCATAGCATATTAATCCAAACTCTCCTGGACCATCGCCTTATCGTGGTGTAGAGGTTTGTTTGCCCCTATGAACCTGGGGGTTGTGTTGTTTAAAAGAGCTACGTGGACAACACAACGTTTGGATAATTCTGCCTTCTTGGAGACCCTGGAAAAGAGTTGTGTACTGGGCTCCTATAGGGGACTCGATACTTCCTTACTAGAAGACTTCACTGCACATGTGGGCATTGATAGATACACTTGGAGGGGCGTGATTGAGGCTGAATTACACATGTTGAAGCATGAGTGGCCTTTGAAGAAGAATAAAACAACACACACGTGTTCCAAGTTCAACTTTTCATAACAACAGTATTTTACCAGGCAGTGGATTTCCAGCGGTGTTGACCTGTACAAAGATAGGCTCGCTCTCCAGGCTGTCTTCAACAGCGTAGATACTGATGTTGTACAGCTTCCCGGGTCGCAGGTCACTCAGTGTCACAGATGTTGCCGTGTCAGGGAGAGTCAGTTCAGTGCTTTCACCTTCTAGTGAAGGCGTGTAGACCACACGATAGCCTGCGCGGAGAGAGAGAAAATACGGGTCATTGTGCGTATGTAAATGGCACAGATGGGTTTGAACAAGCCACAAATGGGGAAACGTGTTGGCTGTTACATGTGTCGTAGCATACCAGTGATTGGAGCCACTGGTTTTTCCCAGCTGATCTTGATGGACGTTTCTCCTACCGCATCCACTTCATGATCAACAGGAGCATCAGGTGCTGTGAAACAATTTAAATGCGAGAAGGAAAATTATAACCACATCTTTTTTTCTTTACAGGGTCACTTGATTTGTATGTCTTTTTTTGTGAGAATTGGATAAATAAAAAGGAAGAAAGTGCGTTTGTGTGTATGTGTCTACTAACCTGTGGTTTGTGTAGTAGAGAGAATGAGGTTGTCATCTCCGGTTCCTGTAACCTCATAGACGTTAACAGTGTACTTCCTCCCAGGCAGAAGCTCATTAATGTTCACTGAGGTAGCTGTGTGGGGCAGGTCTTGAAGGAAGAAAAAAATAGATTAGTTTTCATACATTCACATTTTTTAAAGCAGGTAAATAAAGACATTTCGTTGCTGACAAATTAAGAGTACCGTCTTGTTTAAATGTTTTTTTGTTTGCATGTATTCATGTTTGTAAAGGGTTCATCTGGTCTTACCTAGCACCAGGGGTTCCCCAGTCGCCCGTCCCTCCTCACTGAGCTCATACTCCACTCTAAAACCAGACACCGTGTCGGAGGCGGAAACCCAGGAGATGACAAAGCTGCTGGAGGTAATTTCAGTCACCGACTCTGAGGTGTCAATCTCAGCCGGAAGCAGGTCGGTCTCGCCTTCTGATGTCGCCACTGCAGAAACAAAGAGAGAGAGATTGTAAAAAAAAGAGGTGGCTACTCGCTCCCTCTGAGAACAGAACTGGCAACACTGTCATCATAATTTATAGTTATTTACAAGTGCACATTAAGCAGTGATATTGCAAAAGAACTGGTCTGAATGAAAAGAGTAACAAAATGACCTTAGACTGTTAACCACTGTTTAGAATAATGCTATGTACATAAACATTTATATTTAACAATATATTAATGGCTGCTATTTCAACACTTTTTATATATTTAAATATTTTTTGTATAATGTTGCTACTTTTCTTTGTAACATGGATGGGTACTTATTTGATTTTATTTGATTAACATTTGATTGCGTCTTCTTTTACTGTTATTCTTGCCTTTGTATCTGCACTGTCAATTGCTAAAGGACAAATAAATGTACTTATTTGGATCCTGAAAGATCGAATGAGGCAACTTCTCCACTCTTTCCACTCACATGATCCATAATTGGTGGTGAAGTCAAAGCGGGTGATTTCTCGGCGTCCAAACCGCAGCACACTGATCAGTTGACCCTCGTAGGTGATGCCCGATTTCAGCCCTGAGATGGTGTAGGAGTTCAGGTGGCCGGGGATTAGCACCTCTCTCCATGGGTTATTAGTGTTTTTCTGAAAACATGAAAAAGAATGTTAGAAGAACAAGCGATGGGACAGTATTCAAAAGCCAAGCATGCAGAATCAGTGTAGAGATACCGGGAAGCTATATCTAAAAAAACTCACCACTTTCCATTTGAGGATGTACTGGGTGATGTGGGCAGACTGTGGCGCGTTCCACTGAATAGGGTGGGAGTTGGGTTGGTTGCCAGACTCAGTTATGATCACCTGGACAGGACGGGTACCACCTAAAAGAGATAAAGACAGAGGGGTAAGCACTCATACAGAACAGAAGTTTATTTTAGATGAAGATATCATACTATGAAATCGTGCAGAGATTAAACAGATAAGAAGTGGCACTGTTCAATGTTCTAAATAACAAATATCTTGATTCAATATTTACGTTGGTAAGCAGACACACAATCTTATTTGTGGGGATACTGGCTGTTCTACAATCTGAGAACATACAAAAACCTGCAGTTTTACATGATATGACTTGAAAGTGAGTATTACTGAGTGTGCTGCAGTATTTTCCAGCACAGAAAACATAAATACCTAGGGAAAACTAGCATGTTCCTGTGAGATTCCAGCCCAAAATGTAACAGCTAGAGAGGAGAAGACCTTTACTTCACTTCCTTCCCTCTTTAACGTCCTCTATTAAATCACTTTTTTCATACCATACATGTTCTCTCTGACAGACTACAGCTCATTTGTAAAAGAGCAGCACAAATAAAAAGTGGAAATGTAGTAGAATATTTTTACAACAAAGATTTGGGATTGTAGCCTTTCTAGGCCATATACATGCACACAAACCTATACAACACACTACAGGAAAGGGAAACCCCAAAAAGAATAATAGGGCCGCTTAAATTGATTCTATTAAACAGATGCATAGGCCACACAAGTAGAATATAAAAGGTGCTAGGCTAAGAATGCAAAATCACACAAGCAGAGGCTCGTAACTGAAGTATCTTTTTCGGAAATTAAGAAAGGGCATCAAGTCATCTTTAATGTAAACAAAAGTCATGTGGCAAGCAGACTACCGACATGAGCTGTGCTGATAGAAACTGGTAGCTTCTATAAAGAACTGGGGTTTTCTAACCACTTTTCCATATAGCAGACCTGTAATCAAAGTTTGTGAGCAAGTGGCTTGGTTAACCAGAAGTTGGAGGCAGATATACAGACCTCAAAAACAATCTGGGACCAATTACTGCCTATTACAGACCCACAGAGCCACAGGCCACTGGCGAGGGTAAGGGTTACACAGAATCAGATGTGGGACGCAAATGAAAACGGATGCGCGTGTGTACATGCGGTGGATATACTGCATGTACACACACATAATCTCCCAGCATAACATGCATACATCTGGGTAGCACACGTACATTCACAAATACATTCATCCTTACCTTGCACAGAGACATAACATTGATTCCAGATACGGATGGTTTCACCACAGTAAAGGGGAAGTAATGCTGAGAGTTATCCTAACAATAAGATAAGATTGAAGATAAAACTACACTCCAGACATAGATAAAAGCAGACAGTGGAAAAGAAAACAGCTTTTTCTTTACATCTTATCAGTGTAGTGCTAAATCGGAGACCTGTGAAACCCCTTTTTAAAATATCCTTCACTGGGGTTTTCCATTTTTACCTTTTATGGTGTTTTACCCAGTATGTGCCTCTGAGTCTGGATTTGCCTGTTGCTGCCCTTAAATCTTAGCATGCTGTATTTTGTATGCCCAGACACATGCGCACACACACACACACACACACACACACACACACACACACACACACACACACACACACACACACACACACACACACACACACACACACACACACACACACACACACACACACACACACACACACACACACACACACACACACACACACACACACACACACACACACACACACTCACACACTCACAGAGCAAGTTCACAGCTGGTTGCCATTACAGCCACTTACGGAGCAATAGTGCCCTACATTTTGTATCTACCATCAACCTGCTCCACACACAGAGCAAACAAGTTCAAGTTCTTTAAAGAAGGCGTTACGAAGTTCTGTTTCCACAAGCATAAATAAAAAAGATATCAAACTGTGCAGTTTTAGGCAGAATTAGGGAAATGTAAAAGAAGTAGGAACGACTCTACATGTGGGTTTATTGGTGGATGCCATACAAGAATGTGAAGAATGTGGTCAGTTGTAATGACAAAGGGGGCTGAACACTAACAAGTAAGATCCAGACCGACCCAGAAGGGAACTTAAATTAAAGACAAAACTGAAAGAAAGATTTGTTTGTTTAAAGTTGTTTTGCAGTAGGACTGTCTAGCCAAGCAGAAATTAGGTCAGTTGCACTACTTTCTGCACTATTTTATGTTTTTTTTCTTTAAATGTTTTAGGATTATTGTATATTGCACCGTTGGGAGAGCCTGGGACTTTAGATTCTCACTGCCAACAACTACACTACTGTGTATTTATAATAAAGCCTCTAAATCTTTGCATAATGTTCTGTAATGAAGCATGGCTGTATTTTTTTATTATGTTCGTTTTAACTTCAAGACATGAGGTTACTTTTTAAGTGATTGCTAAAATCTACAAAGTTCACAACTGTTGTTAAACAGGTTTTCAAAGGTGTGCACGGGGTAGGTGTGTGTGTGTAAAGGGGGTTTTTGTATACACACACGTGCACTCTGCTGCTTTGTACAGCTGTGGCAACAGCACAGGGGATGTACCACTACCACATGTTAGCAGGAACAAACGCTCAGAGTGGGGGGTGTTCCTCTTTATCTGTACAAAGAGGAAATCACACCCCCTCCCATCTCTGGCTGTTTCACATCAAAGTCAAGGGCCTTATTTTAGAGGTGACATAAACAAATATTTTAAGTGCAGGAGTTGGAGTGCAAGTTGGAAAGTTTGCACATTTTACCATCAGAAATACTAAACAAAGTGAGAAAAAGTGAGAAAGTATCTATTTTACACCTACTGTGAACATATTGACCATTCGTTATCCTGCAAAACCCCAGAATTCAAATAGAAATCCAGCTGGATTTCCTATTTAAGAACTCAAAGCTTTAACTACTTTGATGAACTCTATAAAACATCATAAAATGAAATGGTACCAGACAGACTGAAACAGGATCAAGTTGTTAACAGTTGGAAAACAAACTCAAGGCATATGAGGGATTTTACATTATTAGTTAAAATAGTATGTGGCCGTATATGTACTTTCATGTTCAAATGTATATTATATTATTTATGTATTATTTAAGAAGCATAATGGGTAAGATAATCAGTGAGGAATAAAATGTTGCTAATAAAAACTGAAAAATTACAAATCAAGCCAATTCATTGCATTGATTTAAATCGTTTATACCAATCGTGCCATAGAGCAGTCATTGTATGCGACTTTTCTCTTTTACCGTTGACCAAGTCGCATACAATGATATCATTTGAATTTGAATGATAATACAACGCTGCCCAGCAAAGCCTTTCACAACCACTTCTCAAAGCTTCCATAGAACATATATCTGACTGTTAACAATTGCATATTGTCAGAAGTGAGACAGTATCACAACATTGCGGTGCTCTAATGTATGTTAAACATCTTACCGGGGTAGGACTGCTGGGGCTCGCAGCTGAGCTCTCCGATGCCGTTGCCATAGCAGTAGCACTTGTACAGGACTCCTTGGATGACTTTATCCCAAGACTCTCCGATCTTATAGAAGGCTCTCGTCTCCGGCTCCTGGCACTGATCTGAGGGCAGAGTTGCAAAGGAACAGTTCATTCAACAGTGACCACAGGCAAGAGTTCTCACACTAAAGATGCTGCCCTCAAATATCATGCTTCACTCGTGAGGTTCTGCAGTTGTTTTAAATGAATTACATTTTCAACAAGCGGTGCCAATCAAAATGGTGGATATTTAAGTGTGGAAGTGAAACAGTAATAAATATACATAATTATCAAATGGGGATTGTATTGAGACCATTAAATCAAATGAATTTGATGGTATAAATGGTGCAGTCTGTTAGGTATAAACCTGTGAACTCACCGATGGCATCACACTTCCAGCGCCCACGTCCCTGTCCAAAGCAGGTGCAGTTCATGGTGTAGCCCTCCTCGTGTTGTTTGGTGAAGGTTTGGTTCACCTCATAGGTCAGACTATCTACAACACACTGGTCTGTAATAGGCAAACAAACACAGATATGTAAAAGCATGCCATGACAGAAAGTAGCAAAGCAAAATCAGGCTTCTTTACTAGCAACCTCTCTGCTTTTTCACATCTGCTTTTTCACAGGGTGTGTGATGCAGGTGCAAATGAAGCCCTGTAAAATGCAGGTGTGCAGCCTGACTTTTAACCTTTTGGTTGATGAGTGATTATATCACCTGTGACCTTTCACCTCTTCACTCTGAGTATTCCAATATTACCCTCTAATTATGACAGAAACCCTGCCACAGCAGCAACTCAATCACCTAACAGGGTCCGTCCCTCTCTCATACAGCCACACACACTCACCTTTAAGCTGGGAGTAAGCAACACAACTCCATTCTCCTCTGCCATTGCCGACGCATGTACAACGCATCATGTGACCCAGAACTTCGTGCCGTTTTTCCCACTGGTCTCCCACACGGTACATCACCCCTTCATTGGTTGTACACACTTCTTCATGAGCTACAACACACAGGATAAAACCAGTTAAAACAACGCATAGTCATTTCTTGTAATCTTTACTCAAGTTTGAACAATTTAGGGCAAAACCTGAGAAAAATCATACACAAATTTGGTTAAAAAATGAATATGCCACACAAAATTGTGCAACAAAACAAGTTAGTAAACAAAAGCAGTGCACTCCTGCATCGAGATAAATAAATACTAAACACACATTGTGACAAATGATCCCCATCGGAGATCACCGATTCTACCCTACAATTACTACAACACAAGGCTGTGTAGAGGATACAGCCATTACAGAACACCTGTGCCCATAGACAAGATTTTCCAGGATGGAAAGCCAGCAGCAGCTGTCTCGTGTCCTCATGCGTATGAATGGCTGTGTGTGTTCCCCATATGTTGGCCGGTAATTATAAAGAGTGAGTCATTTTTAATCCGGTATGATAGAGATGTTTTGAAGATGGGTGGGACAGGCAGAGACCTGCATCTATGCGTTTGCACAAGGGGGGGAAAAGTGCTTCTACTTATTGGTCTGTATAGCCACAAAGCAGCTGGTTTTGTTTTCAAAAAGTAGCATATATGGTCGAAACACAAGTCAGTTCCATACTAAATGTCATTGCTTCAACATGTTGTAGAGCCAGAGGTGCAGACTTAGCTGATATGGATGCATCTGAGTACATATCTGTTTGTCTCCATATAGGGAAGGGAAGCGGCAGTGGAGATAGAGAGCGGATATGCTGTCTTGGACTGCAGCCAAAACTGAGGTGTTTGATGATTTGGCGCTTTATATATTTTCAAATCAGTCTGTTTGAAATACAGAAAGTATTTTAACCTGCTTTCAAACTATTCCACTTACAAATGGTAAACTTTAGGGTAAATCTAAATATATTTGGCATCAACTGAACCCTGTGTTAACACTCTGTCAAGCTACATTTATGTCTTTAGAACCAGTCAATACTTTTATAGGAAATACACCACTGGTTTTATGAAAGAGACCATTTGAAACTTAAATGGCTGTTTGGATATTGCAGCCAACAGCACTGGGAGCTACAACCCTTTTCTTCCAGGAAAACATTATTCAGAAATAGCAAAGTATGTTATGAGACTCCAACTGAGATGCTGTGGGGGAAAACGGTTTTTACAAAAGAATGAGTGTGATGCAAAACTGTTATATAAGTAATTATGTTATATTGTTGCAGAGGTAGTGGATCTAACAATGTAAACGGTGCAGTTGGTGTAGGAGAGGTGGACCCACATTAGCCTATCCAGCATCTTCCCATAGGACTGCCACAGGTGGGGCAGGGGGCTATTACTTTTCTTTAACCACAGCCATTAACATCTCAAGTACCGTGTTTGTTTTGACAATCCCTGTGAAGTCATTAATGTCAATATCAAAGACCCCCTGCTGCTTTGATTGCTGGTCTGAGGTTAACACAGACAACCCGCTCTGACACTAGCTAAAGGGCATGAACGCAGTTTTTCTCCTCTTTAAATCTTGACAGGGTGTTGTTAAAGACAGGGTGTCGGCCAAAAGTTGGGTCTCAGCACCGACGTAGCCATATCAAAGGAATTTCTGAGGAAAATGAAAGCTTAAACAGAACATTTAAAAAAAAGTATGATCCATCATGTTCAATGTACTTTATAAAACCATTAAAAATACCTGTTCTCTAGGCTGTCCATATGCACACATGATGAACTTCTTAAAAGTACTGCGTGTCTTTTGTTGCTACTCTTCAAAAAACCAACAGAAGATTAGTTCTAGATCAAATAAATCCTTTTCCCAGAATTCTAAGACAACATATCCCAGATAAATCCTGTAAATTGTAAAGACTGCTGCAAAAAAGACTATTTTCACATTATTATCAACTCAAGACTCGACCAAGGACTTCTTTAATTGAGATAACAGGAACACATATTTATTTTTTAAGTTACTTCATACATAATTGTTGATATTATAACAGTCACTAATTCTGACTGAAAACTAAACTTGACCAATGGCTAAGACAAATCTTAGTGTTTCAATACAATTTTGTTTAAAGAATTTAGAGAGATAATATTAACATTCACAGCATTTGTCATGTCTAGCTCCTTTTTTTTTACTGAATTTGGCAAATGTCACCACAACGTTGTAATTTAGACTATTAAATTAGGCATATTATCTAGACATCAACATGCAGGTGCTTGATTACAAAATCAGTCCCAAATATGTTGTTAGCTTTGAGTCTGTGTTAAACAACCTGTAGGCAACATCATTACCATTTGATTATTCCTTCAGAGACATTAGTGCCCTGTCATCGCCCCCCTAGTTTTTCGCTGGCTTCTGCCTCTTTTGTTACCCATGGAGACCTAATTGGCACCTAAACATCACAACAACACATTTCTTACAAATAAAAGGGTGTAAGAACTGTAAATTAGATTACGTCTGCGCCATGAGTCCTGACTCCTTCTAACATCCCTCTGATAATAGCTTTTATGTAAATGAATACCCATTAAATCTTTTCATCGTCACTGCGTGGTCTCAATACAAAGGCCATGTTAACTTGTTGATTCAGACTGGGAGGAGAAATATTTGACTTAAGACTGGGAGGGACCTTACAATTAGCCGGGCTAATCACGTTAGAGGCCCCCATGGCTATCATATTTGAGAGACAGCAACTCATTGCTTGAAACTGATTACAGTGTGACCTTAATCTGCAAATTTCAAACAACTCCAACCCCTCCAGCCCGAACATTTAGGGTCTCTGTGTTCCCGTCGTTCCCTATCTCTTCATCACACAGACACAAAGACATACCAGCCATAGGACAGAAGCCAAAGCGATGTTCTGCATCATAGTCTGTCGTTGTGCCACACCACTTCATGCCGTCTCTACGTCCATCAGCAGTACAGTCCGTGTAGTTTCTTCCATTATAGAGGTAGGGGAACTGGCACAGAGCACCATTTGAATTACCGCCTCGTGTCACCACCATTACTGTTTAAAGAAAAAACACAAGAATATATTAAACTATTGTTTTAATGGTATATAGTTTATACCAAACATATTCACAAAATGTAGCTGTGATGCAGATACTTGTTGAGGCCTTTCCAGGGTTTTAGTTGTTAAACCAGACTACTCAATAAAGTTTGCTAGTTTTATTAAACAGCTATTACCTAAATGTACTTAAATTGATATTAAATGTGTAATTTACTTTGCTGACACATTTTGAATAGGGAATCAAGGGAAACCCCTTGATAGGCTACTGTTGAAAACCCTGCACTTTAGCTGTTTGAGCTAACGTTAGCATAAATGAGGTCAAGCTAGTTCACAGCCCTAAAAATATCTAAATACAAAAACAGCTAGACCACAGAAGTTGAAGGTCCCTTCTGAACTTTAATTTATTTGTTGCGTTTTAACACATCCTCCCCTCTGTCATGAACCTTGGAGTGACCTTCACTAGCCCTTTTAAATTTGACAAGCAGGTCAGCACCGTAGTCAAATCCTGTTTTTTAAAATAAGACTATTGGCCAAAACCAAGTCGTTTATCTTTTAAAGACTTAGAAAGGGTTATTAATGCCTTCGTAAGGAACGCTCTATACGTGGGTATGGACCAGGCCTCAATTAAACGCCTGCAGCTAGTCCAAAACGCAGCAGCACGTCTTCTAACTGGCCACAAAAAGCGTGACCACATCACCCCAATTCTGGCCTCAAACTGGCTTCCAATTTGGTTCCGAACTGATTTTAAAATCCTTTTATTTGTTTTTAAAGCACTAAATGGGCTGGCTCCGGCCTATATAGCCGAACTCCTCCAGCGCTACACCCCAGCCAGAGCTTTAAGGTCTGCTGACCAGCTGTTGCTGATAGTGCCCAAGACCAGGCTCAAAACCCGAGGGCACCGAGCCTTCGCAGCAGCTGGCCCTAGGCTCTGGAACACTCTGCCCCTCCATGTGAGGTCGGCCCAGACCCTAGGGGTTTTTAAATCTCTTAAAACACACTTCTTCTCCCTGGCCTTCTAGTCAGAGCGGAGCGCGACTCCTGACTTTTCCCTGTGTTTTTTATATATCTGTTATAATTTATTGTTTTTTATTGTGATTGTAGTAATGTGTTTTTATTACATGTACAGCACTTTGGCCCGACCAAAAATCGCTTTTAAATGTGCTTTATAAATATGCTTTATAAATAAAACTTGATTTGATTTGATTTAACTCACAATATCACGCTAGGCTAGCTTAATTATTCCGCTAGATGCTAGCTAGCCGCATCTAAGAAGATTCACTGAATACTTTTTCTACTGAAAGAAAATCACCTCTGTTGGTCTTTCCAACAACAAAATGATCCAGTCAACTTTCTTTAAATGAAAAAAACGAAAAAAGGAACAATATGCAGTACACCAGATATACTACCCATATAACAGTGAAGCTTCTCAGAAGTAGCTATTTTTAGTACATTTTCCACAAAGTCGCTCAATTCACACCTTATAATATTAACAACAAAATAACTCACCATTTTTCTCAGTACAGAAAGAATATTTCTGTTCTGTCTCATAGTCAGAGGAGGTGGAACACCAGAGCTGTCCATCACTGCGCCCATCAGAGATACATGAATGGTAGGTCTTGCCCTTGTAGACAAAGGGAAACACACAGGGCTGACCTCCGGAGTTGCCACCATACACTGGAGAAGGTCCATCTGCATTAAGACAGGAAACCACACAAATACAGTTAATATGACTGAGCATATGAAAACATTTGACATGTTTGCCTTAGCTTCATTAAGGCTGGGTTTGGTCCTTATTTACACAACTTCACAAATGTATTGGTTTCATGCCTTTTGGCAAAATGATTAGCAAATTATGTCAGATTTTGGTTAATACTGTGTTTGTGTAAACTTAAGGGAACATTTCTTACCCCACTGCACACAGCTGATTCCATTCCCAAGACAGGTACAGATCAACTGCTTGGCTCCCTGGTTCTTCATCCAGCGTTGGCCAATGAAGTAAGAAAGTCCTGCATCCGTTCGACAGGGTCCTTCCTGGGGAACCTCAGACACACTGGCAGGCTGGTAGACCGCAGGCTGGATGTTAGTGATCACACGAGAGCCAGTACCTGAAAAGTAGCATTTATCCAGGTTAGTGTATAGCAACAGTATCACATAAGAAAACTTCCCAAATATAAAGTTACCCATTAATGGGAGATAATAAAGTTGAATAGGGTATAAATGTTAACTATTATATATCTTCAGTAAACTGCCCTAGTTGCCCTAGCTGCCCTAGTTGAAGACATCTTTTTTTGTATCAACATTTTTCTGAAATAGTTTCTTCAAATATATTTAGCAATTATCTAAACTGTTGGTGAATTATGGACAAATCTATAGAATCAAAAAGACCAATTGTAATGAAATTAACAACTGTATTTTAATTTGTAATCTTTTTTTTTCATAAGTATGAAAAAAGACATGTCCAATTGCATGAAAAAGAGATGTTGCCGCCTATATTGTCTCAGTGATGATGTTGCTAAAAGTTACAATTATACCACACGTATACATGTTTGAACCTCTGGTTTGAACATGCAACAGTCACTGGAGTTCAGATGAGTTCAGCTGAAACAATCTGTTTGTTCTACTGCATAACTTCCTACAATGAAATAAATATGTGGCTTTCATTTCCACTGGACGAGGACTGAACCACGTTATCAATGATTATGTGCTATTTGCAAAAGCAAAGCTACAATAAAGCTTGAGGTTTTTACTGTCCATGAGTCAGAAGGAGCATATGTGTCCATCTCACACCCAATAATCACTTCAAACCACTTCAAGCACTAATGTTCCCCTGTTTAATTTATCCTTCTTTATTTCCCTGGTTCCCGATCTCTCTTTCTCATGAGGTCATGGTCATGACTTTCAGCACACGTCTTTCTCACTTCAACACTTGGACACTTGGCACTTCTTATCTCTCCCTCCTGACAGCATCTGTCTCTGGTATACATTCTACTCTCCTCACACAGAGGGGGAGGAGGGAAGACAAAAAAAAGAAGGAGACGGGTATATTATCATTTCTCACCCAGGCCAGTGGTGTGAAGTGAAGCATGTCGCTCACACTTCCACTCCCCTCGTCCGTTCCCAGTGCACAGACACTGGAGTGAGTGGCCTCGGGCGTCTGTCTTTGTCCAGGTATCCCCAATACGGTAAGAGGTCACAGTATCCTGGTCGTTACAGCGATCTGGGAGAGAGTACATGAGAGGAATTCAATACAAATAATTGGAAACTTTGAGACGGCAATGTGGCCTTTTGGGTGGGAAGCTTTCATGTGCTGAGTGCATGTTTAAAAGGCTGCAGTCATCCTGCGCGGAGTAACTCCTCCTGGCTACCAGCTGTTTCCATGTTTGTGCCTGTTTGTGAATGTTGTTGATAACTTGTTGAACACATGCATGATCGTTTATTGATAACCTCCACTAAAAAACTTCCAAGGCCACCCCGAAGTTTTTCATGCGACAAAAGCCCAACAGGGAATAACATAAATGTTCATCTGTTACATCAGCCATCATCTTTACGGATGTGTGTAATGGTCCTAATTGGAAACACAACTGGTAAATCTTCCAATAAATCACAAGATACAAGGTTTGCTTGTGGCTCTGCCAATGAGGCTAGAGAGTTTATCTTTGTATCTTTAATTATTAAGCAGACGTGTGTATTGACACGTGAATTGTTCAAAAATAGCAGCGTTTCAGCAGCGTTTAATTTAATTTCCTGCTTGTGTTGCCCTTAATGACCCGGCTTTCCCACTCTGTTTCTGGACAAGTAGAGTTATATTGAGAGAAGAAACAAAAAGAGAAAAGGTCTTTCATAAAAAAGTGTGAAAAGAAAGCTGCATTACATGTATTTTTCAAGAATGATTTTCCCATACACATTGCAAAGGAGGAAAATAATAAATAAATTATAAATTTGGGAGCTGAAAGCTATAAATACTTACTTCTGGAGGTGCATGTGATGCGTCCACTTCCCTCTCCCATACAGGTGCAGTCCACCACCATCCATCCCTGGTATGGCTTCTCCCAAGTCTCCCCGACAACATAGGAGGTTCCCGCCGAGTTGTCATAACAACGCTCCGCTGCAGGAAACAGAGACTGATGAGCTGCTAAATCTATAGACAGCTGAAGGGATAAACTATTTCTGTAGGCCTAACCGGACGCTACTATGGCCCTGGTTCCCATGACCAAAAGCCAATGGGATTTAAGTGTAAACATATTGTAATTTCCGCCATCTAACCAAAAACTGATTAGGGAATCAGAAGTGGAAAAATGCCAAGTCATTTCTGGGTTTTATCAAATATGTAGATAAACACTCATTTTACTCATTAACCAACTTTTGAAAAAGACACAATAATGATAATCCAGGATCTCCAATTTCCTGGCTATTGGCCAGTTTTCCCAGCAGCTGTCTGTTAGTCACAGTCTGTCTGAATGACTCACCCACAGGTTTGCAGGTCCACTCTCCCTTCCCATTACCCAGACACACACACTCCAACACGTAGCCTCCTGTTTCGTGGGGTCTCTTCCAGGTGTCTCCGATCTTATATGAAGCCCCACCCTCATGACAGCGGTCTGTGTAGACAGAATTTCAGACAGATTTTAGAGATATGTTTGCACAGAAAGCAAGCAAAAGGAAAAGAAACATAGACATTTCTCCCATTATCTAACCACCTGGCTAACTGCTACCAGCTGTGCAGCACCAGTTGCTAATCAGATGTGGAGAATATGGAGATGAAATAGTTCACCAGCCTCAGTCTGGCAGACCAGGATATACACAGACACATTAGCTAGGATGTGCGGTCTAGGGGTTACAAAAGAGTAATGGTAGCTTCTTGTAAACCAGACATAACACATACAAAAACACTTACTGGCAATGGTGCAGCTGATCTTGCCCCTCCCTGAACCGATACAGGTACAGTCCCAGATCATGCCTTCCTTTGGTCTTTCATAGGTTTCTCCCACAGTGTAGGACAGCTGGTTGATCTTATCAAAGCACTTTTCCTCTGCTAAGGGGAGAAAAAAGTGGGAAAGTTGTGTTGATTATGTTTTTTCTACTTGTATAAGGGAAATTAAGATGTATTGAAGTGGGAAACAGCCACATTTCTGTACAACATTAAACACACTAACCTTCTGGTTTGCTTTTACACTTGATGCCAGCGACTCCATGGCAGGTACAGATAAGAGTGCTGCCTAAATACGGCCGTTCCCATTGGTCATTTATAGCATAGAACTGACCATTCTCTATACACCCATCTGACAGGAGGAAAAAAGCACAAGTTATAAATACAGCTGATGGGACATTTAAACAGCAGGAGGTCAATAAAAAGCACCACCCTCACTTTCTGCTAAAACACATAGTGTAGGGAAAATGTGATAGAGAAAAAAAAACACACTCCACCCTCACACACCCACAAACACTGTACCTGCTTACCATGTCATTTTTCAAAAGGAAAATAAGGCTACTGGAAAACTGACTAGCCCTGACCTTAAACTACCAAACACATAGCAGTATTATACATAAAAAAAGACAAAACATAACAAAACAAGCAAAAGCTACATTGGAATAAACATGTTATGGTTGAAGAAGGCTACACCCATGCCTGCTAAATTGACCCCTGGATGTGTTCATTTGACTTCAAAGTCCCCCAGGGCTGAGTAATAAATCAGTTGCACTCTGAGTGGGGAATTATACACCTTTACTCTTTCTCTCCCCCACCAGGCATGTTCTTTGTTCACATCTCATGACTTTACATGCAAGAAACATCTCTCATTTCTTTTTTCAACTTCAATTAAAGCCAAGATTTTTTTTGTTTAAGTGTTTTTTAAGGCTTTGATTGTTTGTCATTTAACAACGATGGAAATTGAAGAGATCAGAAAAGTTGCTATCCAGTGACTCCCAAAATCAGAGTTTAGATGCTTTATGTGGATTTTATCAACACATTACACAAAGCATTACCTTATTTATAGGCTTCTCAAGTAGTTTTAATTGCCAACACGTTCAAACTGATTCACATCACCTACTAAGATTAAAGGGACAGTATGCATCCAGTTAGATATTACTGTTGCTTTCTGTCTCAACAACAAATGTCAGACACATGATCCAAATTAACTGTAATTTCATCATTTACTCTCTGAAGTCCCTCAAGTGACCTCTGATGGCTCCCAGTTAATTAACTTTTTCACAAATCCGTTGTTAAGTCATTATAACTCTGGGAAAAACACTTACCCTGAGAGGCTGAGGGGACCTGATGCTGCTGACCCTGTCGCCGACTCCTGTGAGCGGATTTGGGCATACAGTTCACCGCGCTCCCGATGCAGAGCGCAACCAGCACCCTGGCTATAGTGCTGCCGGACATTACTGTTAAATATGAGCCACTCGGCTTTTGCAGAATGAGGTTACAGGTGCTCCTTGTGCAAAGTTTATTTCACAACCAGAGGGAGATAAATTGGTTCCAGTGCAAATCTTGTTTTTTTCCCCTGCCGCCGCGCTCCAACCTCCCAGATCAGTCCGCTCCTCTGCAGTCTGCGGCCGCAGTGTGCAGGGTAGCCTGTGGGAGTGATTTATCTGGGCATGGCTTAGATTATTCAACCGGAGGAGGAGGGAGTTCAACGAAAGAGGCCGACTACCCACGCAGCAGCACGTAGAAAGAAAGTGTGAGGCAGACAAACTTTTCACGAAACAAACGGTGACAAATTCCATATCATAAACTCTTGCTCTTTCTAGCATGTGTTTGCACTGTGAGGTAAGATTATCTCCCCAAACGCCATGCAACACTGAGGTAAAAGTATATGATGTCGTGGTCAAAACTGCCAAAAAGAATTTCATCAATGTCAAAACTGAGGAAAACAAAAATAAACCCCGTGAACTTTGGAAATTACTCAATAACCAGCTTGGCTGCAGTAAAAAACTCAAAACGAGATGTTCTAACTTAAACATAAAGACAGATAACAGGCTCATCACAGACAAACTGGATGTGGCCAAGTACTTGAAACATTTTTTCACAAACATAGCCACAACTCTTGTAAATAAATTACCCTCCCACTCAGGGCTTTTTGGAGTAGATCACATCATGACCTACTACAAAAACCTAGGGGTACGCAAAGATGATTTCAGTCTAGCAAGGGTAACAACAGCAGAGGTACTCATTAAACTGAGCGCCCTCCAACCTAACAAGGCCACTGGCCACGACAATATCCCCTCCAAATTCCTCAGAGACACAGCAACCGCCATCTCACCAGTCATAGCTCACATAATTAACCTCTCCATAAAACAGGGAAAAGTACCCAAAGACTTCAAAATTGCAAGAGTAACCCCCCTGCACAAAAAGGGCAGCCAATTGGACCCAGGCAACTACCGCCCTGTTTCTATACTTACCTCCATCTCGAAAGTCATGGAAAAAATAGTATATGAACAGGTCGAAAAGTACCCCGCGGAAAAGAAACTAATCTATGAATTTCAATCTGGCTTTAGAACATCCCACTCCACTGACACATGCCTTCTTTATTTGAGCGACCACATCAAACAAGAGGTGGACGAGGGCAAGTACTGCGGCATGGTGATGCTGGACCTACAAAAGGCTTTCGACACTGTCAATCACCCCATTCTGATTGACAAGCTAAAAGCAATTGGTTTTGATAAACTATCGGTGAGCTGGATGCAATCCTACCTGGAGGGGAGAGAACAGATGGTGGAGGTAAACGGTACTCTGTCCCCCCCCCTCCCAGTGAGCTGTGGTGTTCCACAAGGAAGCATATTAGGTCCGTTACTGTTCCTAATTTATGTAAATGACATGTCATCAGCATGTGACTGCAACTTGTTCCTGTTCGCGGATGACTCAGCCCTGCTGGTCTCTGGCAGGAACAGGTTGCAGGTTGAAAAAACCCTCAGCTCCGAGCTCGGCAGAATCTGCACCTGGCTCGCCGATAATAAATTATCATTACACCTGGGTAAAACAGAGTCCATTCTCTTCGGTTCGAAACATAATCTCAGCAAATCCGACGACTTCTCAGTTGCAGTGGGTGACATTATTGTCACAAGTAAGAAGGAAATTACATACCTAGGATCTATTCTTGAGGCAAACCTCTCCTGTGACAAAATGGCATCCAATGTAATAAAAAAAGTCAATCAAAGAACTAGATTCCTATACCGGATCTCCTCTCTGGTAAACAAAAACACCCTGAAAACTCTGGCAGGAGCACTCATTCAAGGGTACTATGACTATGCTTGCACGTCATGGTACCATAGCACCTCCAAGGCGCTAAAAATAAAACTTCAAACATCGCAAAATAAACTGGTCAGACTACTGCTTGACCTTTCATCTAGAACCCACCTCACCTCTGCCCACTTTGACAACCTAGGATGGCTTAGAGTAGACGACAGAGTACAGCTACTTGCAATGGGCCTGGTCTACAAGATCCACTACACCTCTATGGTACCCATGTACATGTCAACATTCTTCCCAAAGGTCAAAGAATACCATGATCATAACACCAGAGGGAGCTCCACAAATCATGTGAAACCCAGATTTGGCACAAAAAAGGGGGAATACACGTTTCGCAATTATGCCACATCAAGGTGGAACGCTCTTCCCACAACTGTAAAGGAAAGTAAAACTATACTTACCTTCAAAACCTCTCTTAAAGAGCACCTTCGGGGGAGAGCATTGCAAAACTGGCCCCGGTAATGGTACAAATCTCAACCTGTCGTTCAATGGACAGCTTCCCCCCCCCCATCTATGTATATACTCTCATTTTAGACTCTGTTACTAACTGTATATCTGTAGACTTGGTATGTCTTAAATGTCCGGTTAGGATGTATTAGAACGAAATCTAAAATGAAAATTGTAAACAAGCAATCTGTATGTAAAAAACCACCTGTATGTAAATTGTAAATAAGCCATCTGTATGTCAAATATGTCTTATATGTCTTAAATGACATGATGAATTGGAAATGGAGGACCCTGATGTAAACAAGACGAAAGTCTTTCTCTGGTCTGCATCCCCGTAACAATTGTATGTTTTGAGCTGTACTGTACTGTACCCAATATACAAGCTGTTAATAAACTTTTCAATCAATCAATCAGGTATTGCCCCATATGAGGAGATTCTGATTACCCCATCCGGTTAAAAATGTAGGGTCCTTGCCCCATGACCATTATACTTTATATAACAAGTGTGGGGTTTAGGAGCTTTCTGATCACAGTGCTGTAGGCCTGCAACCACTCAATCCTCCTATAATTTAATTGTTTCACAACCATCTACCAAAATTGTGTCTAAGGAGTGTTTGACAGTTGAGTTAACCTCATTTTGTGATTGTTTTGTGTGAAACATGTATTTAGGCATGTAAACCGTGACAGGATTTTTTTCACGACACTGTATCTCAGGGCATCTTAATATTTAAGAACCTATTAATGTGTTATACCAGATTAACGGGAATAATCTCAGCTAACTGCCGATACAAACCATGTTTACCAAAACAAAACACAAGTCTCATAAGAAGTATCTAAATGACCCCTGAATGAAAAATGCTAACGCACTTTGGCACAGAACTCAAGATAAAGATACCCTTATTACTAATCGTAGCTGCACATACAAGTTATCCGATTAAAGCCGAGGTTCCACAGATTATATAGGTATCATCACTGAGCGAGCCAAACTCGCGACAGGGGAAGCAAACACAGACATCACAACACTATACCTTTATGGAGCTTTTGCGGGAGATCGTCTCACCGTAGCTGTCAATCTGATAAAAAGACGTGTTCAATGGCATTAAAACGAGAAAAAACGCGGCTGAATCGGTTAATCCATAGGTTGATAATGTTTCTGTCGATTTGAAAAAAATATTTATTATCCATGATTTAATTTGTCTGTAAAAATCGGAGAGTAAAAGTTAGCTGCTAATGGTAGCCACCAGAGTTATCGCAGCTTCCGGTTTTGGCTATGCGTCAGTCCCTCGATTCCATTGGCTCTGACGGTTAGAAAGAGATGTCAATCAGCAACATCGAGCAAGGGGGGCCAGAGATATGAAAAATCCACCCAAATGACCCCAGAAGTGGGGTTTTTTGCTAAATCTCTCTAAAAAGGTCAAATTTCACTTATTTTGCATAAATCTTGATACAGGGTACTTATTATATGTTGTAGTTTGGATTCCTAAAGCTTTTAGTCTACCATCCTATCATTCAAGGGTGGTTTTCACTATAAGTAATTTTTTATTTTTGGACGGACACAATAATTTACATTTTTTTTACTGTGTTCAATCTGAATTGATAATAAAAACATCTATATTGATTCTGACACTTCTACATCCAACTCACATATGTAACCTTGCTTTGAGAAAAAACATTATTAATTTAACCCTTTTAGAAGGGAAGATATGGTCATTTGTTCTGGGAATGTCATTTTCGAGCCTGAGACCTGTACAACAGGCTCGGGGCTTAACAGGTTTCAAGCTTTGAGAACACACTTCACCATCCCACCAAAGAACATACAATAAGTACAATAAATCATGAGGATGTACATTCAGAAGAGCACAAATATCGCTACTACATTAGCTTCAAATGAGCTAAACGCTTGTAAGTGCTACAAACATAAATGAGAATAGATTATATTTGCAAAGAAGCAATGGAAATGGGTTTTTTCAGTCTAAGACGAAAGTTGTGTGAAATTTCTGCTGTTATCAATGGAGAGCACGTTCCACCATTTTGAAACCAGGTAAAGCAACATTCGTTCTTCTTCTACTAAATGGGAAGCTTCTGCCGCTTCAATGTGCACAAACTCATACCTACCAACAACAATCTAAGGGCCCTTCTCTTGTTGCTATGTTATATTGTCATTGATTGTGGCCTTATTACTGGTTCTAGTTATTCAAGCAGCACAACCTTGCTACAGGACGTTGATGCGTTGAAGTGTTTATGCCTATAGGTTTTACAAAGTCCTGGTGATATGCAGGAATTAGGTCAATGACGTCAGTCTCTGGAAAGTCTCCACTAGCCTAAAGTTTCAATGTCTGGAAAGTGTTTATATGTCCAGAAGGTTTATTGAAATTATTTCTCTGCGGTGCGAGCCAACTACTGTAATGTGCAAGTCAAGAGATCAACTTTCCGTTTTACTCTTGCCCCATCTCCTCTCTCTGGCTGGCTCTCAGTCCTTTCTTATCAGTTGGAATCAATTAATTATGTTTCGCCTTTACGTGGTGTATTGTTGTTGGCTCACTTTTTGTCCAATTTAAGTCTTGAACTCCTTAAAAAGCAAGAGGAGAGCTCTTCATCGGATCTTGATGTTTCTTATTTGCGACTGCTTTGTTCAGAACTTTCTTAGTTGTAGTAGCATTGGGTACATCCAAGGCTTATACACTTTTAGAACAGCCCATTTGAAGTCAGTTAGGGCTTCATGTTTAATGTTGTTTGTTAGTTGGAATAGTAAGACTGAGGCTATAGTGTAGGTGAAATTGCCTAAATTACTCATTTGTTTTTTCCTCTCCATGCAGACGTCCTGCCATGTCACTTCTGGATAGCTTTAGGCGCTTTCATACCAAGTACTTTTCCCAGGAATAGTTCCC